CGATATTAGACGAAACAGTCGAGAATCGTATAGCCGCGCCGGAGCCTAAGGATATAACGAACGAGAAGGATATAACGCTTAATACTACGGTCGAGGAACGTACGGCTACGCCTAAGCTAGAGAATTTAGAGGGCCTAGAAAGGGATTCGGCAGGTAGAGAAGACGTAATAGCGGATTAGATCGGCGAGCATCGTAGAGAGATAGATAACGCTACGCTTAACCCGCAATAAGCGCGTCTAGAGGAATACGGTACTAACCTAGCGTAGACGCTAGAGGGCTTTACGATCCTCGCTACGGTAGAAGGCAATCTTCGATAGACCTTTCGTAAGGCGCTATCGCTTATTTCTACTAATAGTAGTTTAAGTACCGGCGAGGTTTAGGCGGTATTAAGCTACGCTACTAAGAATAGACATATACGGCCTTTCCTAATGTTTACCGAGGACGGATTAGATATAGAACTATACTACGTATTAATAGACTCCGGTCGACAACTATTATAGCGATACGCCCCGTTATTCTTAGGCTATAGTCGCATTAACGATACGCTAATAGCGAGCTTAGCACCGTTGCCCCTAGCTAATAATATAGACGAATCTAATTTAGAATTACTCGAGGTAATAGCTCGCCCGTAATCGTAGAGGACGCCGGATAGCGAGTTTAGTACTATATAGCGTTAGACTATTACTAGCCTATCGATAGTACTTCCGAATCTAGACTATCTGCTCTCTAATATTAGACAGTTCTTTTTTCTAAAATATTACGTACTAGCGGTTATTGCGGCGGTTAATCTAGATTACGTTTTCGATAGGAAGTCGTTTATATAGGCGGTTACGGCGCTTACTACGAAGAAGAAATAGTTAATAGAGCTAGCGAAGGCGTTGCTAGACGAGGGCCGACAGACGGGCCGAGCGCTCTATAAGGCTATAGCTAACTACTTTATCGATAAGGACGACCCTCCGCCGCACTATTTAGGTAAATAGGAGTTTGTTTAGAAGGGTAAAGCGTTATAGGTCGAGATTCTAGAGGCCGAGAAGCTATAGGATATCGTGCCGGGCTTCTTTGCCCTTTACCGAGACGCCGCTACCTACGCGTCTAGTAGCCCGGTTAACGGTACGGAAAGCGGCCTAATTAATCCTATTAGCGCGCAGCCTTTTAACGCGCCTTCGGCTTTAGAATCGGTACTACCGTTAATAATACCTACAAATCGACCGGCTTTACTAGAATTACTATCTCCGCTAGCGCGTATACTTCCTAATTTACCGCTACTATAGGTACTCGCCTCCCTAACGTAGGCGCCGAGTAACGGCTCGCTATAAGCGCCCGCACTAGCTCCTCCTAAGCTCCTAGCTACTCCGATCGAGTCGGTTTTTAAGGAACCTCTAGTCCTATCCCCTAAAGAACTTAAGTTCGAGCGGTAGCGGCTTCGAGGCTAGCGCGCGCGCTAGACTTTAATTAACAAGCGTCTCCTTTGCGCTAACGAGACGCCCGAGCAAGCTATAATCCGGTAGTACGTAGAGTACGAGGACTATAATAAGAAAGTCGATACGCTAATCGCCGCTAATCCTATAGAGCGTAATAAGAACAGAGACGTACGCTTTGTCTAGGCCGCGAAGCTTGTACGCAACGCGTACGCTAAGGACGCTAACGGTCGGCTGCCTAATCTTTTTCGCCTATGCCTATATAAGCGAATAGTCGAACACTATTTAGTAAGGCTTTAGCATTACCTATATTATCTACACCTTATAGCTAGCGATCGGCGCTTCTAGATTCTACGCGAATTGTATTAGTATATAGGTAAGCTAGTTACTAATTTTAAAAACCTACTCTTTACGTAACCGTGCTCCTTCTAAATTGTAAACAACGATCTCGCCCGTAAATACTCTATCTTTAGGACCGACCTCTACTCGGACGGTTACGATATATAGTAGGAGATTTACGCGATTCGCTTTAGCGAGTATATAGCGCTTATAACAGCAGGCGAATTAAAGGAGCTTCCTAATCTAGCTAACCTCGATACGAATTTTCTACTAACTATTACTTTCTACTACGCGAAGTTGTAGTACCGACTTCTAGTAAATATTACCCGCTTACGCGAGAACTTCCTTAGCTTAAGTACCTATACTGGCGACCTACGATTCTAGCTAGTACCGTCTCTAATCCGCAATAGAGCCGTCGGTCTTATAGTACGCGCTATCTTATACTTCCTATAGACGGTCGACCTCGTACGAGAGTAGTTCTACCGCTTCGTCCTAAAAGAACATCGCGATAGCATTATAGTAGGCGGTTACCCGGTCCTATATAAGCGTAGCGAGAACAGTAAGGACGTATTCTACTATAACTACGGTAAGGAATACCTAAAGACAGGCAAGCGACCTATTAGCGAACACGTCGGAGCGATAAAGTATTATAAGATCGACCTAACTACCTACGGCGAAGTCTAATTCTTATAGATAGTAGCTACCGGACGACTCTCGATAGTACGCCTACCTTTACTAGACTCCTAGCTTAAGGACTATACAGTTTAGCTACTGCTAATCGGTATAGAACTTAGTGCCTAGTCGGCTATATAGCTCTATAAGTAGTACGAGTCGTCCCTTAATTCTAGTAGTCTACCCTACCTATACCGTCGCAACCTAGGTCGCCTAGCTATTACCTAGGACGTCGTCGCTTATACCTAGCGGTATATTACAGTCCGCAACGCCTATACGCTTCGCGGTAAGGGCTACATATCCGCCCTCTATACTAATAAGGCGCTTACGGATACGAAGGCTACTAATGCGTCGCGTATAAAATAGTACGCTTAGCTTATAGGTAGCGGTCGCTACTAGAACGGTACCTATACCGCTAACAAGGGTAAAGGTATACCTCTACTACTCCTTAACCGTTAATGCCCGATAGACTTTAGCCTAGTCTGCTAGCTAACTTAGATCGATCCGGTATACGCCTTATCTATCTTTATCGCCTATATCTAGACGCTTAAGGACGGCGCTATCCCTAATAGATTAGAGCCCGCGCTAACGCTATAGTTCTATAATTTGCCGAAGACGGTCTCTACCGATTTAGTCTTCGATCCTTTAGGCGTCTAGGAGCGTATTATATAGGGCAATACTATTTTTAAGTACGATAAGATAGTAACGAATAAGAATTACTAGTAGTACAATATCGACTATACTTAGGATCCTATAGGCGTATTCCTAGTGCCGTTATCCGACTACTCGCTAGACGAGACCGACCTTACTAACGTATACCTTTTTAGTAAAATCTTCTCTCCTAAGCTCGCGACTCGGGCTAAGCCGCAACCTCCGGCCGTTGCCTCGCTAACTAAGGCGATCTAGCTAAACTCCTCGCACGTATTACTATCGACTAAGTTAAATACTCGCTAGAAGCTAACCGCTAGCCCGTTCTTAGCGCCTCGCCTATCGTCGAAGATACCGCTACCGTCTAACCTATTCTCTACGCTTACGAAGGCTCTAGCTACGGCTTAGCTACTACCGCCTAACAATACGGTTACGTAGCTATAGTACAAGCTCCTAGCGCTTCCGATACGCTTACTACCTTTGCCCGCCCTATAGGAAAACACTATAGGCGCCTACGGATAATACTAATATAATGCGACGGTAATTAGTATATATACGCTTAACTTATAAGCTCTCTGCTATATGCGCTAGTCCGAGTTAGTAGTAACCGAGGTACACTAGCTACAATAGATGCTAGCTAAGGTATAGATCCGCGAAGTAACTAAGCGCTAGATAGCCTAGTAGTATCGTCTTTCTGCTACAATCTTAAAGGAGTCGCTTACGCTATCGCTAACCTATCTTTACTACGATTTCTTACGCGTCGCGCCGCAATAGGCAATCCCTATACTATACCTAATCTACGAGGACGCTTTTAAGCTACTCGGCGGCGTATAAGGCAATACTACTAAGGATAAGATCGCGAAGCTTAATATATAGATAGCCGACTACTTTAAGCTATACGGTGCTATATACGACGCCGATACGCTACTATTACTAGATGCCGACTTCCCTAACATCCCTATCGATTAGTTAGACCGCGCTGCTACTATAGCGGACGTAGTTAATACCTCGCTATCCGATAATAAGACTATAAAGACTGTCGCGCCTTAGCCGCAGCTAAAGGCGGTTTAGACTATACCGACTAGCTTACGCGACGCCCTTCGTAACCGTCGTAATAAGCAAGCATAAAACCGACGTAGTTATTACTAGAGAGATACGATTCTATACCTAGTATTACCGTTCTAGTATACTGTTTAGGCTTAGCCTTTATATAACGCTATTACGCTCTTTTGCCTTAAACCTTCCTATAGTGCGGCCTACTAAGGACCTTTGTTTTAGGATACTATAGATAGTGCCGACTTTTTTTATAGAAAGGGAGGCTGTTACGATATAATACTATTATATATACGATAGCAGGTAGCAGTTACTATCGACCGCTACGGTCGCTATTGCTACTAATAGTGGGACTATTATATAGATAGCTTGCCTCGCGGCATCTTAGAGAATGTATTAACTTTTATACCGTATAACCGTTACGATACCTTCGTACTATAACCGTATGCCTAGTATGCTAGTATAGCAGTAGAGCATAGCACATTCTACCTAACCGTTATTCCTAGTTATATACACCTAGAGTAATCTAGAACTAATATATTTGTAAGGATTAACTGGTATACTTATGAGTTCGGAGATTAACGTAGTGCCATCGCGCAGAGCGGCCAAAAAATATATATCGATTACTCGTGCCTACTCAGTCACGGCAGAATCATCGCAAATTTGTTGTTGTCATCGAGACTATGGATCTACCAATTTGCTATAAGTCGGCCGCCCGCACATTCTGCGAATATACCTGCGAATGTGTGGCATGCGGCCGAAAATCAGTGGCACTGCTATACCTGCGAAAAACGCCAATGCGACTCTCGCGCCGGAATATGGAGTCGACCTGGCCTTCATGACCCAATTGCTCGAGCCTGGTGCTGAGGAGAAGCCCCGACCATGCCATCCCAGAGGCAGTTCGGTGGACTCCAACGATGAGTTTCCGAGCGAGCGACCATCGCTGCTCACAGCCTCCACGAATACAAAAGGGTGGAATCCTCTTACCACGAACGACGTCTCGAACCCGGTCTTCTGCTCCTGGCCACGCAAGATAGCACTCTCCTCTCCATTCTCCGCCGAGTACAGTCGCCATTGGTCCACTTCAGTCGCTCCGTTCCAGCTTACGTATACGACTGTCGTTACACCTTCATACTGCGTAGAGGAGGCGAATGCCTTGATCGCCGGTGTGCTTGCTGGACTCGCCTTGAAGTGAAACTTATAGCCACGATACGTGCTAAAACGATCCGAGGCGAACTGAGCCTCAAATACGATGTCGCCACTCCGAGTATGCTCGCTAAGTCTCGCGTTCTCGCTCCAGCATCCGAGGCGGTTGCCATTTTCCAGAAACTGCATGTTCCCTCGAGAGGTAGTGTGTCCGCCACCAGGGCGTGGATGCCGCTCAACGACAGTGGCAATCCTCTCGATCTTATGCAAAGCTACCACCATCAAAGAGGATGCCTCTGCTGTCGACACGGAATTGTCATTGTCATATGCCGCATTGTCGAAGAAGGATAAGATCACGTGCGTTTCGTTCTGCTCGCGCCAGCGTGCGTCGTGTTGACGCGAGAAGGTGAAGTCACGCAGCTCGAAATCCGATATGACTCCGCCGAGACGCCAAAGGACAGTACCGTTGTCGCCCGAAACGAGATAAATCGTATCGGCATGCCGTCCGGAGACCAGGAAGTTGCCATCCTCATTCTTGTCAACGGAGTTCATATGCCTGGACATGGCATCAGCATCATGGACAACTTTACATCTGTCGAGACACGTACATGAAGTCCCAAGAAGAATCGTTTGGTCTAGGTACCGTGGATTCCAGGAGTGACAGATGCTCGAACGCCTTCCACTGAAAAGCCACTGCCTCAGAAGGCAATTGGAGTTCCTGAAAGAAGTTTTCAAGAACGGCTCCCGACCAGTTTGTTTGCGAATCCTCAAAGTGGGCCTCGGCCATGAAGTCGAATTTGCCTACGAGGATTGCAGAGGCTCCAGAATTGATGATGGAGAATTCATGCAAGTTGAAAGATCCGCCTCGTACGGAGAAGTTCGACCTCATCTGATAAGAAGCATCCAGGATGACAGCACCTCCGCTGGGAAGTGGCGCATTTGGAACATCACTTTGCCCAACCATGAAGGTCAAGATTGGACCTTCTGATGTTTGTTGGACCTTGAAGTCTTGATAATGTCTTTCGGGAAACATCGAGCTTCCACTCCATATGAGATCCTGTGAACGTTGGCATATCTTCTTAACCAAAGCTGGCGCGTTGACCAATTAACGATACTGTTCTCGAGGGACTATCGGTTGGTACGCTGTAGACCGATGTCACCTGCTTTGATTCGAATTATTATAGTATTGCAGAAAAGCTCACTGGAAGATATCATTGTTCATCCACGAGCATACGACACTCGTTCACGCTCGTTAGTACGCTGCATCCACATCGCGCCTTCTTTCACTGTCTCATTACTACAGTGCAGTCGATCGTTCTAGATTGCCGGAACGATCGCTCGACGGATCTCGGGATAATGTACGTATTACAACCTGCGGTCGCACAGTCGTGATTAAGCGATCGGTCATGTTGACGCGACCGAGGACGTAATTTCATATACACTCTGCAAGCTCCCCTAGACAGCTGTTTACCGAGGTCTGCTACTCACAATCAAAGGTAGTCATTGGTCAAGATCAAAGACACCATAGGCAGAGCCTCACGACTCATTTGACAGCAACTAGCATCATCGTGCAACACCGAAGCTTAACAAGGCTGAACGCCTGTCTCCGCACCGAATTGGCCAATGACACCCCAGAGACAGAAGACCCAAATATCAATCCTCACTCGGCCCTCATCCGGATATGCAAGGCTGCAAGCCCGTCTTTGACAGCCCGTTATAGACGAACGTTTCGCAGCCATGTTCCAACCCATGGATTCTGGTCACGTTCGAAACGCCATCTCCTTCTTCTCACGTTGGCTCACCACACCATTCACTTAGTATTCGCAGCCGGTTGATCTGCGAACCCACACTCGTTTTGAAGGGCGAAACAACGAAACCACGACACTCCTTTACTTTACCTCCCTCTCCGACCGACTAGACGAACGAACGAAGAACGATCAAGATGCGTCTCCTCACCACCGTTTTCTTGAGCGCGTGCGCCCTCCCTGTAGCTCTGTCACAAAATGCCCAAGCAATCGTCTCCGGCCTTCAAGCAATCCAAGGCCAGACACAATATCTCGACAACATGGTCGCCCATTTCACGGGCACACCACTGCTCGGAGCCGTTGACGTGGTCAATATCCAACAACAGTCCGACCAAGTCGCACGCGCGATTGAAGCCTGTATAGCGGCAGCACGTGCAGTACCTGCCAGACTCAGCCCAAGGGATTCCGAAGCGGTCGCTGCGGCTGTTCTGGCCTTGCGTCCGGTCACTGAACAGCTTTTGGACCGACTCGCAACTATGAAACCAATCTTCGATCAAGCCTTCGTGGGGCTCGTCAGTGTGAGCAAACAGGTGCAGACCTCGTTGCAGGATCAGAAGGCGTTGGTTTCGGCTTTGGGGTATGCTATCGCAAGGAAGTTGTCGGGCGCGTATCGAGCGGCTGCACGGGAGCTGTTGGATGAGTTCAAGGATGCGTTTGATGAGGCCATCTCAGAATATGTGGTTGCGGTATGGTTTTTTTTCCGTGTCGAGAATGTGCGCTGCTGTCGTCGTGTCAATTGCTAATACGTCCACGCAGGATCATGTTCAACTTCCAGTAATTCCCATCCCAGGTCTGATACCGAAGCGCGAAGCCGCAGAGCCCGTCGCATCCGAAGCGTGAACGTGCAAGGTCGAAGAGGTCTCTTGCAGGAGTCGGTTCGACGGAGCAAGGGAGAAAAAGAACTCAGAAGCCCCACAGAAGTCGATCTGAAGGGAATGGATGTGGTAAAGTGTATTGCATAATGTTTGAGCGGTCAACATATATAGTACAAATTAACTTCTGGGTATCATACAGCGAAATCATCTACCAATCTATGCCACGCCCTGCCACTTCAGCCCTTTCTCTCCTCCATTTGGTACTGGACCGTACGTCCATCTTGGCGAAGGCTCTGCAATGTCGAACTTGAAACCTGGCGCTAGGATACGATGCTTCTTGCCGAACTTGGTGTCAAATGTGACGAATCTGTCTTCTTTCTTCAGGACGTCTGAGTTCTCTTGCCATGCGCGGACCATAATGTCCAACAAATCGGTAACCATATGATGTGGTCTCATCGGCTCGAACTTGTAGGTGTCCTGCACCCTGGCGACGATGTCCTTGGAGTAGAGACCGACCTCAGGTTCCAATTGCCATGTGTCGAGGGCAGTGAGTGCAACATGGGCATGGTAGCTACCGCCCTTGACCGCTCTGTCTCGGATTCCGAGCAGAGTCACCAGAGTACCGACAGCGCCGGTCAGCATGTCGGCGATCGGAAGCGATGGCAAGACACCAGTGCCTTCTGGCAATCCATATGCCAAGCCATTGATGTAAGAGCAGCCTGACGCACAATCCGCAATCTGCTGATAACCAGGGCGCTCAGCATAGTAGCCATCTGGGCCATAGCAGTTGATGTCGACGTAGACCATGCCTTTGTTACGCTGACGAGCCAGTTGCACCATGTCGTCCAGACCGAAGCCCTTGCGTTCAAGAGACTTGAGACGGAAGCCTTGAACTAAGACATCAGCGTCATTGAGAAGTCCTTGGACCTCTTCGCGGTCCTCTGACGTCCGCAGATCGAGTGACGCGACTCTCTTGCCAGCCTGCAACGTTACACTAAGGAAGCCAAGATCAGGCAGATCTGGAGACTGAATTCGAATGACATCTGCGCCGAGAGCGCTCAGATATGTGCCGATAGCAGGACCAGCAATCACACGAGAGAACTCCACAACTTTGACGCCTGCCAATGGCCTCTTGTCGCTGATGTTGACTGGCAGAGGCACCCGAGGGAGGTCTTGTGTTCCTCTTACTTGCTTGTAGTTGACCATTGGGTGTTTCGCAAGCGCTTTACCCATGGAGGTCTCCCTCCATGCCTTGGGAGAAAGCACAGTCTGACCGACGTATCCTTTCTCGATGCAAATGTGTTCGAGCTCCCGAGCAGAGTAGGTAGTGGTGACAGACTTGATCTTCTCGTAAGCTTGGTCATTGGTCTTGATATCGGGGTCGTCTGCGTTGAGACCAAAAGTTGCTAGGAAGTCCACCGGGCTGAGGGAGGAGAGAAGCTGGAACCATTCATTGCCGTTTTTGGTCGGATAGATTGACCATGATCGGAACCGCATGGGCGTTTTGCTGATGACACCCTGGTCGACATCGAGTCCAGCTTTCTGCACGACTCGGTTCTTCTGGATCGCCTTCCAGTCCTGGCCATCAACCGTGACGAGTCCCACAGTGGCTGGGTACAGAGCCGCGAGGTCGGTGTCCACGTGTACGTCTCCTGTCTCAATCCCTCGGAGTGCGCAGATCTCTTTCGAGACCAAGCCGATCATGCCCTGACATACTGCGCTAAATATTTGCCCCTTGATTGGTCCTGGTAGAAGTGGCAGGTCTTGACCGCTGAACTTGACCTGCTTCAGGAAGTCGGGAGATGCGTTGAATCCGGGAGTTTTCTCTGCAATATATTGCAAGATTCTTGATGCCTCTTCTGGCACAGGCGTGAATGAAGTATCGGTGTAAGAGCCTGGACCATACACGTCCGGCACAGTCTGGTGCTGTGGTGCCATGTCTGTTGTAGAAGGCCTAGCGAATTTCTTGATTAGAATGCTTATAGAACGAGAGATAAGCTGACAATCAATTTGTGAGGGTGAAAGGGCTCTGCGAGATTGTATATATCAATGATAGCCCGCACAGCATACCGCATCATTACGGACATGGCCCTCGTCCGAAGAGCGGAGCGGAGCGGTGGAGACATGTGCTGCGGCATAGCCCGACGCATACAGAGCCATGAAGTCGTCTTGCCATTCAGAAATCCTGTATAGAATCCTCTGGCAGTTTGTACGGTGGTGGCGAGTTTTCTCCGGGCGTTTGTTTCGCCGAAGATTCACCTCAAGTTGTGCAACGTCAGTCTGCAGAATGCTCCCCCTCTATTCTATGCACGGCCGTGCAAATGTGACATGGGCCGAGTGAAGATGTGGTCGTGGGGATATGCGTCATTTCGATCGTGTAGGTAGATCCATGAACAGATGGCCAGGATGTTGTCGAAAAATCAGTTGCCGCAGCGATCTCCATCATCATCATCAATGCGGCGAACTTGACGTCTTGCTGTTTGGGGATCACCAAGATGGTACCCACTGCAGCCAGTGTGAAAGAGAAGAATGGCATTACTTGCAGCGATTTCACTCTTACTCATACCACAAGCGAACTACCTCTATGCTTGCGCCCAAGATTGCCCGAGCCACGACCACCATAGTCCACAGACCCATCGCCCAGAGACCATTCCAAACAATCGCAAAGCAAGTATCGAACATGAGCGAACGCGGCATCAAAAACGTGCTGGTGGTGGGCACAGGGGTAATCGGAAGCAGCTGGACCACACTTTTCCTCGCGAAAGGCCTCAAAGTCATCGTATCAGATCCAGCTCCAGGCGCGAAGGAGAAGCTCGCAGAATTCATCAAGAGCGAGTGGCCCCGAATGCAGCGAGTGGGCGCTGTAGAACACGCAAACCCAGACAGTTACCAATTCGTGGAGGACATCTCGACCGCAAGCCTCGATGATGTGGATTTTGTCCAGGAAAATGCGCCTGAAAGACCAGACTTCAAGACCAAGCTCATGGGAAGCTTAGACTCGACATTGAAGAAAGATGTGGTCATTGCCAGTTCCTCAAGCGGCATTCCGTCGAGCAAATTTATTGGCGAATGCAAGGTGGCTCCCGAAAGAGTCCTCATCGGCCACCCTTTCAATCCCCCGCACCTGATACCTCTGGTCGAAGTGGTTCCGCATCCCGAAACGAGCCAAGACGCTGTTGAGCGAGCAACAGAGTTCTACAAGTCTGTGGGCAAAGCTCCAGTTCTGATCAAGAAGGAGACACCGGGTTTCCTGGCCAACCGGCTTCAAGCCGCGGTCCTCACAGAAGCATATAGCCTCGTAAGCAGAGGCATTGCGAGCCCAGAAGATGTTGACACTGCCATCAGTACCGGTCCAGGTCTGAGGTGGGCACTCGCGGGGCCGTACACGACCAACATACTAGCTGGAGGAGCGAGTGATGACCCGTTCAAGCACTTCATTGATCATCTTGGTCCTGCCGTGCATGGCTGGAAGAAAGATATGGACGAGCATAAATTCGAGTTCCGCGAGGACGAGATGAAGCAGTTATCCGAGCATGTCAGACCTTTCCAAGGGAAGCTTGACCGTGAAGGAGTCAGATCGGACATGGGCAATGGATTGGTCGAGCTGCTGGACATGAAGAAAAACAAGAACAACCTGATGTAGATACCCAGAGTGACGATTCTATGATTTCTCGACCGCTTCATGCATCCCGTTGTCAACTATGACTGCTAGCAGTTCATGTCGCAACGTGTCAATTGCCTGATGCCAATAGATCGAAGCGAGGGTAATGGCGTGAGCTGTATGGTGAGCCATGCTCACGGAAAGCCTGCTGACTGCAATCAGTACATTGACCACAGCTTCTCGCCTTGATGCCCACGTGCTGGAAACGCTCAGACAGCATCGATGTGCTTCCCCCGATGACGTTGTAGCCAGTATACAAAGCCGGAGATCTGGCGGCCTAGTCTGATCATAATCCTTGTGACTGCTTCCCCCGAAGCAACTCCGTCCATGTCCGATTTTACAGCGACTGTTGTTCGGTGTTTGAGAAAGACGAGAGGCGCGAGTGCATGCGCGACGAGTTTTCGCACAAAGACTTCTCCCGTCTCAAGGTCGCGATGATGTTATGCCTTTCACCCACGACTCAGAAGCGATCCAGACTCGCGTCATAGTGGTAGACCTGTCTCCGCCTTGTCTCCGTGTAGGAACCTGTTCGAAGTCGTAAGATTGTATATACGGATTCGAGATGCGTCTCAAGAACGTCCGCAAGAAGCTCAAGCGCAATCAATTCACATCTACCCCATTCCGATCAGCTGACTTTCGCCTCAGCTCTTTCGACTTACTGCGCAGAGTACCATCAAGACCTCTCAGTAGAAGAGCTCCTGCAGCAGCTCGTCCATTCATGACGAAATTGTACGTACTAAGCATATATCATGCTACGCCTGAGGTACCCCTGGACACTCAAAGCTTGGACGACATAACACATCGAGGCCGCATCTTATCCTTAGATGCAGGATGGAGCGCGGAGCCGAAGATTTTACTAAATAGCCTCCATATGCCAGATGGTATCGCCATCAGTAAGAAGCATGGCCGAATATTTTGGACGCAAATGGGTAATCCTGGTTCAAATGACGGCTCGTTAATGTCTGCCAATCTCGACGGCGGCGATGTCAGGTCTCTCTTGCCTAACGGGGCAGTCAACACTCCAAAGCAGATCGTAATTGACGAGGACGTCGGCAAACTGTATTTCTGCGATCGAGAAGGCCTTCGTGTGTATCGCTGCAACCTGGACGGCAGCGACCAAGAGATATTGGTGCAGACAGGAGATTGGCAGCTGAAAAAGGACCAGACGAGATGGTGTGTCGGTATTGCTTTGAGCAAGAAGCTGAATAGAGTCTTCTGGACGCAAAAAGGCGCGCCCAAATCCAAGCAAGGCCGAATCCTTTGTGCAAGTCTGGACATACCCAAAGGCGAGACACCTCAAACCCGACAGGACATCGAGCTAGTAGCTGGAGGCCTTCCAGAGCCGATTGATTTAGAGCTTGACGAAAGTGGGCCAGCGCTAGTTCTGTATTGGACGGATCGTGGAGAATTCCCATTCGGCAACACGCTCAACAAGAAGACTCTAGTCGGCAGCGAGGTCCCTAATGCTGAGAAGAAGCTGGGAAGACAAATTCTTGCAGAAGGCTTTGCAGAGGCGATTGGCCTCGCATTGGACCACGACAATGACTGCATCTGGGTGGCTGATCTCGGCGGTCGCGTGTGGAAATGCGATATGCACAAGCCGGCAAAGAAGGTCAAAGTGTATGAGAGCGAAACCAGTGTGTTCACGGGGCTGGCGATTGTTTGAAGATAGATGCTGTGTTGGAAAGGAGGGAAGTCCGGCAGAAAGCGGAAAGCAGAACGGGCGCTCAAAGAGCCACAAGATCCACAATGGCTGTACTCAGGACACGCCTCCGCGATCTTGAGGCCAAGTGCCTGCTCCACAACTGCACTCCATGACCCAGCAAACGGCGCTTGAATGCAAACAGCACCACTCCCGCACCCTCAAGCGCTGCTTCAAGCCAGTGCCGGCCAAATTGACAATTTGGCTTCTGCAGCTGACTGGGGAAGCTACTCAGCCGAGAGGCGCACTGCGTCCCCCCAGGATAGAAGCTCAAAGAGTCGCGCTCGAGGCATTGACTCGTCCGGACGAGATGTGCATTATGGATGGCGAGAGGATGATTGTGAGAGCTTAAATAGAAGGGTAAGAAAGCAGAGTTTCGGCAAGCGTGCATTGATCTTGATGAGCCGTCGACAGAGACGAGTGTGGTTGAGGAAGATCGCTCATAGAACCTCATAGCAGAGCTCTCATATAGCAGCTCCAATGCTGGTGTTCCCTTCCTTCTCAGTGATTCGCCGACTTCGTGGGTATACCCTCTTCCTTGAGAACAATTCACATATGCCCAACCACTAACCCCGAATCTGTGTCCAAACCAAAGTCAGCAAGAGTTGCACATCACACATTTTGTTGACCCGACTCAACTTACCGACATGGACCGCTTGGCCAGTGACACTCGTATTCTTGGCCAAATCCACAAAGGCCTGCGCACAGTCGTCCAGCTTGGTCTCCTGCTTAAGCGCAGCAGCATTTTTCAACCCATTAATCCTCTCATCACCATAGAGATTGCCCCAGTCCGTGAGCAAAAGACCAGGCAGAACAGCATTGACCCTAATTTTCGGCCCCTGCGTGTTCGCAAGGCACTTCATCAAGTGTACCTGCGCAGCTTTCGTGACACTGTACGCCATACTGCTCCCACTCAGAGACTTGCCCGCCACAGAGCCGGTCATGATCAGTATTCCACCATCCGGATTCGAATTGAAAGTTGGAAGTGCTTCCTTCAGTAGGGCATGGTTTGCCGTGACATTGGTATGCCAGCATTTATCCCACTCTTCGTAAGTCATGGCATCGAGGTCCTTGAAATCCGAGAATTTAGTGAAGCCCGCGTTTCCAACGATAATGTCCAGGCCTCCGAATGCTTTGATCGTCTCTCGGACACAATTTTGGACGTCGGACACTACGCCGCCGTCGCCTTTGATTACGGTGGTTTTGATGCCGTGATTTGATTCGAGCTCTTTTGAGAGGTCACGTGCGGGTCCCTCGTTGTTGGCATAGTTGATCGCGATGTTGCAGCCTTCTGCTGCGAATTTTCGAGCAACTTCGGCGCCCAGGCCTCTGTGGCGGTGTCAGTGTCAATAAGAGTGTCGCGTGTAAGAGGATGGTTGGGGCAGTGGAAGCTCGGAAATAGTGTGGGAATAGCTTTCGACCCAAGTTCAAGGTAGAAGCGAAGGCATACCTTGAGCCGCCCGTAATCAGGACATTCCTTCCTACCAGAGCGTACGGCATGGTATCAGTTTTGGCTGTTCAATGGCAAGCTAGTGTTTGCGTAGGAGGAGATGAAGTGTAAGCACAAGGAAGGGTGAAGCGCGATCCACAGAGACCCCACTTCCGCGCCTACTGCAGTTTTTAGTGCAACATGACCCGAGGCACGAGCAAGTGTCAGATAGCTGCTAGACTAGCAGCATCAAGACAACTTTGACTGTAGGAATGAGAACAGTACGACGCGCAACCGCCGGCATTGACCGTCGCGCCTCGACGACTGCGGAGAAAAATCCGCGGTCTATTCTTCATCTCGCCGCGGAACCAATGCTACCCTGAGTATCTGCAAGAACGATCAATGCTACAAACAATGTTCAAGTGGACTTGCTCACAGAGGCTATCCGAAGTTGAAGTCCAGATCATCTCCCATGTCACCCATACCCATGTCCAGGCCTGCGAAAATATCCTCTTCTTGGTTTTGGAGATCACCCTGTTGATTCTGCTGCTTGTCGTCCGTATTCATGCCCAGTTCGATGAACATCTGGTTCGAGTCGACGTCCATTGCGCCTGGCCCAGAGGCCATCTTGAGAAGATCGTCGGCAGTAGCGTTGTTGATGCTGGTCATGTCAATTTGTTGCTCCAGGCCGCTCATATCTGTATTCTGGTTGAGTGCGCCGTCGTTGGTAGCACTGGCAGTATTGCCATCTAGCAGATCCTGCAGCATCTGGTCTGCTGCCTGCTCTGGAATTTGTAATGGGAGCGCCATTGGTGGCATTTGTGCGGCGAATGCAAGTTGCGCCTCAACTCTGCGTCCTAGGCGCACGAGGACCTCAGCCTCACTTACCGGTCGTTCCAAGAGCCCTTGCACATTTGAATTGGTCAAACGCACGCAATCGCGGAGTTTTGCTGCTGAGGACGCGGCTGCAGATGGTGACTGCATGGACAAAGGTCCTGCTGTCGGCGCACATATGAGACCAGTACAGAGATCGAGAGCGATAGACATGTTCGCCGGTCCGGATTGCAGCACTTCCTCGACTAGGGTTTTCAGTATTTCTTGGTCATCGAGAGTCTGGCAAGCAGCCACAAAGAATCTATGCGCATATCTTGGTGGTGGGTTGGGTGGGTTGGACTGTGTGGCACCCCAATTGATGACGTCGCGGACAGTCTGTCGGATGAGGTTCTTCATGCCCCCCTGATTGATGATAAGGTCAATCTCCGCCTGCGTACATCTGAACGTTCTCTGCTCGTTGACGTAAGGTCCGAGCAGTTTGAGAAGCTCGGTCACTTGCTTCTTGCTGGGCTGCTTCTTCGAGAACTCTTCGAGCGAAGAATGGAGGGAATCTGCTACGATGGCAAGCACAGCTCGGTGCATTGCTTGTGTCTCTTGAGAGCTGCTGGAGTGCCGCAACAGCTTTTCGAGAACTTGAAGCAGGACATCGGCATCATTATGATCTTCCCAAGAGTGGCCGGCAAGCCAGCCGAGGCCCATGATTAGCGAAGGAAGCAGGAAAGGCTCAAGAAGTAATTCAAGTCCTCCTTTGAAGGTTTTCATCTTGAGCGCACTGGCCTTGCAAGCCAGAATGCTCTGTTCGAGCAGGGTTGGAACTAGTTGATAGAAGCTCTGAGGTGGGCATTGTCGCATCACCTCATCACTTATGCCACTTGGCTCCCCGTGCTCATCGACTGTAAACAGTCCTTCGAGCCATTTACCAAGCTGTGATCCTTGTTCGGCGGACAGCTCGGTCGTGGGCTTGCTGACAGTCATGTCATCAAGGAGTTTTGCGATGAAGCTATCGCCTTGAACACCAATATCAGTGAATTTGAGGTTGTATCGGTGTATGACGGAGAGGGCGAATAGCAGAACCGAAGCGAACTCTTCGTAGGCTGGTGTGAACTCGGTCTGGTCTTGATCATGAACCCAGTTGTTCAGCAAGTTGCACACCGGAAGTAATAGTACGCCAGGCTGTGCGAACAGCATGATGTAGTCCATCAGAGGAATGCGCTTGACCAGCCTGTCGCAGACGGATTTCAGGGAGATGGTATCTTTGCTCAAGCACAAATTCCCAATGGTTTCCACAATGCAGCTAGCAATGGCGCCTGCATTGCCCTGCATACCGGAGAGGTCCTCGAAAAGCTCGCCAATTTTGCTGATGTTGCTTGTGCACTGGCCGACAAGTGAATCCTTGTTAAGCTTTTGAATTCGCGAGAGAGCAACACTCTCTTGGAGGATGGCCGAGATGGCGCCTTCAGTGACCAGGCCATGAAGGGCGCAAGCCTGCAGAAAGTCAAGTCGTGTGCCTTTAAGATAGTCACCGACTGCATTCGAATCTGCAGTCATCGGAGGAAGAGGATTGACGGTAATCAAGCCTCCGGGCATCATCGCCATCTGTATACAGGCCTCGGTAGTTACGGCAGCCTGCATGTTTGCTTGTACTCTCGTGATCAGAATTGGCACTTTGTTGACGATGAAGGATCTGATGACCCTGTGATATTGAGGTTTTGCCTTGGTCAGAAGCGAGTTGGTAAGCACATCGAAGGAGGCGACAAGAAGGTCCACAACCAGTAGTTGCATGTCGTTGGGGTACCGTCCTTGCAGGTAGCTTAAAATGGTCATGTCGTCCGTGAGCGGTCTGGCTGACAAGGCGGCACTGAGCCAGACGAAGAATCCAGCGCGAGAATTGACCACTGAGAGCTCACTGACTTGTGCGAGGATTTGCTCGTCGGTAAATTTTGGTCTTCCTTTTGAGTCGAGCTCAGTATATGGCGGTATGCTTGTGATTTGAGTGAGACGGCCAGCAACTTGCGGCTGCGACCATTGCAAAACGTGCGTGTCGTAGTTCTGCATTTCGGCAACGACAGCGGCTCGGCGCTCCTTCCACCACTTCGACTTCATCACCATCTTAATGCCTGAGTTGCCGAAGACAGACAAGGCCATATTTCCGAGGGCTTCATACATGCCGTTCGTAACGTGGTCGATGGCCTGAATTCCCTGCAGCTGTTTTGCCATTGCGTCCTCAGTGACCTGCTTCAGCCAGCGCGTGGTAATGTGAACCAAGTCCATAAGCTCAAGCGCGGTCTTTGGTAAGTCCACCGCCATATTATGCTGTGCGACAAGTACGAAGATGCGTTCTTCACATGTTGGAAGGCCGGTCTTGCTGGTGGCTGTGCCGCCTGACGCGTAGACAGAGTGCTTCAGCAAGGCAATGAGCAGGTCGCTTGATGTGATATACTTCCGCTTCAGCAGCTCTGACGCATAACTGAATATTAAAGGATCATCAGCACCACCTTTGGCAGCGCGAAAGCGAAGGAGCACGTCGGCGATGTCTCTTGGTCTTGCGCCGTGGCGCTCCTTGAGTTGCTCGAATACTTTCCAAAGCTGGCCGGCTCGCAGTCGTCTGAGAAGCGCCTTTTTGAACGCAACGTGCCACGACTGAGCAGCGTCGCTCGTCGGAGATGGCGCGCCCAAGTATGGCATTGTTGTGGCGGATGTAGCGATGATGTGCAGGGTATGGATGTGCTCTCGAGGCAAGATGGCAAGATATTGTGGCACGTCCGGCGTGCCGAAGAGCAGATTAGAGGGACATGTCAAGATGGCAAACTGGAAGAACAAATGGCAGAGTCGGTTGCGTGAGCACAGCCCCAATTGGAGCGGAGAGCGGTCGGCGTTCAACAGTGAATCATGAGATGTTGAAGTTGAAGTTGCAGTCAAGACGATACATAGATGCGCGTCTGATCGGCATTATCCTTGCACTTCCGTTCCCGTCTTCCCGTCTTCCCGCTCCCGTCAGCCATTTCTTGGCACGCTGGACAAGGTTCCTGTGTCATGCACACCCACGCACTCGATGCTCCTCCCGCTCACCAACACGTTTGCTCCGGCAAGAGCCAGCCACCTGTAATATCACCTGCAGCTAAGTATCATTCATCTTTCTATGTTACATTCTTCGTGCGACTCACCCCGCCCTTAACAATTGCCTTGTGTCCAGCGCGCATTGGGGCACCGACTGCTATCAAGCACATATCTGGTTTTTAGCTGAGCTCTCGAGCTACAGCAAGCAGTCGACAAGCTCCACTCTTGCTGCGGGCCCATATGAAGGGCTACGCCAGGCTGCTCGCATTACCTGCGAGTCTGCTGGTCTTCCTCGCGAATGTCAATGCCGAAGCTCCAGCCCTGGAATGGCCTCACAATCTACCACGCACCGCGCGATACTATCCGGAAGACGAAGAGCATGTCAAGCGCGGCCTGGAGGCACAACAAAAGCTATTATGGAAGGTGCCAGCGGGTATGCGCAAGATGGGCGACGATCCAGGGGAGAAGTTCTTTATGCACTATTGGGACTTTGGAGAGGAGCCATCCGTGCCTGCAACGGATGCCGAAGAGCACGAAAGACAACGAATAGCATATCATAATTCCCTCGAGCCCGTTGGAAACGCATCGGCGCTCCTACCCGCTGTTTTCCGCCATACATCTCATGACCGGCTCCTAGGACGCAGTCTTTTCGCTCGCGAATTCAAATGCCCAAGTGGCTTTAAAAAATGTGACAACGTGGGTTCTGATGTCTGCTGCCAGAATGGTGAGCTGTGCGTAAGCACCTCAAATGGGGTGGGATGTTGCCCACAAGGAGCAAATTGTGGAGACAGCGTTGCGGGCTGCGATGCGGCTGCCGGATACCACAGCTGTACCAATGATGAAGAGGGAGGATGCTGCCTCCCGGGATCAGAATGCGCTCATAATGGCTGTGTGTTCTTTGGGACTGCTACGGTCACGAGAACGCTTCCCATTTCGACAGTCAGAGGTATGCCTAGCACACAGCAGCCTACGACCATTATAGTGACGCAGTCCGGATCTGCAACAACAGTAACGATTACCATGCCTGGAGTCGACATCACTGAAACAGTAACCGTGACAGAGCCTACGACGATCGTGCTTGGAGGAGGATCAGGCACTACGCAGGCCCCCAGATCGTGCACTGCGGGCTTTCAACCATGTCCAGCATCATTAGGAGGTGGATGCTGCCGATCAGATCAGCTTTGTGCAGCGAGCAGTAGTTGCGAAGAGATCACGACGACGACATCCGCCACTGCCAACCCTGCGGTCAGGCCCACTAGCAGTGGTGAAAGCTCAGACGCCTCGATCACTGCCGCAGGAAGCCCAGAAAGTTCTTCGACGACGAATGTCGAGGGTTGCCCGACTGGCTTCTACATGTGCTCCGCCGTCTATCTTGGAGGATGTTGTCGAGTAGACCGTGATTGCCACACCACTTCGTGTCCTCCAACAGCCACGACAAATGTTGTTACAGGCTCTAGTCTAACAGTGGCCGCCGATGCGACTGGCTCCTGCGCCCACGGCTGGGCTTCGTGCGCGGCTGATGAAGGAGGTGGCTGTTGTCCATCGGGCTATCTCTGCGCCTCTAATTGCATTAACACAGCTGGAGGAAGCAATACGACCAAGCAGTCTCCGAACGCTGCAACGGTTGAGGGCTTTGCTTGGAGTTTTGTGTTCGTTGGGATCACTGCAGCACTCGGCATGCTCTTGTTATAAGCTCAACCCATTTTCGCGAGCGTATTTGATACCCATCTTGATGTTGTAACAGGTACATAGATCAATCCACAAAGACAGATGTTCGGAGGCTCTGATGCATCATTTATTGTGGCTTGTCTTTTCACATGCCACCCTAGTGAGCCGCGCCGAACCGAAGCAAGTTTAGGCGCTGGGTGTGGGTCTGGAGCACAGCCATTGGACGTCGAGCTCCTCCTTCGAGCATGAAGTGACCTTCTGCAAAAGAGCTACTAATGCTACCGCTATACTGCGTCGCTTAAGTAAGAAGCCCTCCGCAGTGTTGCGGCCACACCGACATCCAGATCTGCCTCCGAAGCATCAAAATCGTCTTGTTGCCAGTTTTTGGGAGCCAAAGCACCGTGGCGGACTCTCGTGTCGTCACCGATTGGGAGCGGTACCCATAGCAATCTTCACCGGGAGCCACAACGACATCCTGGGATTGTACCTACAATATACCAGCCAGAGCGTACCCCGCTGTGATCACCGCCGTGTCTCTACTCCACGACGATCGCAGGCGACCATCGACACAACATAAAGGCTGTGAGCACTCGAAATACAGAGAATAAGCTGCCGCCCCACCAAAGGCTTCAAGATCCTCAACGTGCGGCACACATCGGCGACAGCCACGACCAGCCAGCGACAGCAGCGACGACGGCTTCGCACGAAAAAGACACACCCATCGGGCTTCATGGAGTGCCTTATCAGGCTCCTCCATCGAACGCTTTGATGAGAACCGAGTTCTCGACCAATGATGCCAGTGCAAGATGAAGACCCACATCAACAACACCACCACCACCACAATGTACAGCAGCAATCGCCGAATCCGAATCCTTCGACCAGCGCCGCACAGGACGGAAAGAACGCGGGAAAGGCGATAGGCCACCCCAACTCCTCCATCTTCTACTTCCAACCCAGCAAAGATGTGAAGAAATTCGCCAAACGATATCGCACCGAGATCGCCGCCTCGTCGTCTTCCGTGCTATCGACATTCGCAGCATTCCCGCTCGACTTTGCCAAGAGTCGCATGCAGAGCTATGAGACTGCTTTCCTAGCCACTGTGAAAGACGCGTATAAAGCAGAGGGGCTGCGCGCCTTCTGGAGAGGTGTCTGTCCTCCTCTGATCTCCGTGACAGTGGTGAGAACGATAAGCTTCAGTCTGTATCAGAAAGCTAAGTATGCCTTGGATGCATCTATACACCGCGTCACCGGTGAGAGTCCGCTGGTCATCGCCAACGCTCCAGGCTCCTACCCGACACTCAGCACCATGACGTGTTTTGGTCTGGCAGGAGCATCGGCAGGAGCAGTCATCACCACCATATCGTGTCCGTTCGAGCTCACAAAGCTCAATGAACAGCTCGCTGGAAAGATGGCCCGCGAAGCAGCATTGAAAGCTCAACGAGAGTCCAAGTCCAAGATGCCGGCAGGCTCACCACCACCGCCACTAGTCGTGGATCTCAAAAGTGGTGGCTCAATGGCCACTGCGCGTCGCCTGGTCCGCGATCGAGGCATAACTGGTCTATATGCTGGGTACAGATTGCACCTTTTACGCGACACCGTGGGTACTGCGATATACTTCATGACGTATGAGAGCGCTAAGCAGCTCATGGGCAACGCAAGGGGCAAGAGCGCCACATCTCCGTACGCTGTCATCGTAGCTGGGGGGCTTTGTGGGATTGTTAGTTGGGCTTGCGTAAGTACGCCCTTGGCTATGCTGACATCTGGAATAGGCTGTTGTTGCAGCGGTATGATGCGATGCATACACGTGAGGTCGAGTATTCTGGTCCAGTGCGCTGACTTGTGTTTATTGCAAACAGATATACCCTGTCGATGTCGCCAAGACTCTCTACCAAAAGGCACTCCTGAGTGCTGGAAGCGGTCACGCTACAAGGCCAGATATCAAGTTCTTTGAGTTTGGAAGTTACAGAGGTGAGCACAAATTTCACTCAGCGACCGCTGCGTGCATTAGAGAATGCTGATGCCATTAAGGACTCGGTGTATCTGTCTTGCGATCATGCATCATCAACATGATCTTCTTCAGCAATTTCGAGCTCGTGAAAAAGCATATCAATGCCTTGGAAGTATGACGAACCGATTTTGGGAAAAACACGTCTGAGCAGGAAGCAATGTCAGCCCGCAAATGAAGTCATTTTTGAGCGAACAGGAGTCTGTGGAGTTGGGGCATCCGGCCGGTAGAGCATGAATAGCTCCTGGCTATGAATATGGCGGTATCGCAAATCTGGGCCGAGGTACTTACTGTTGATCTGGGCATATCTCGAATACACACATAAGCATGACGCACGCTGCTTTTGCAGGCACTCGATGAGATGAGCTTCCAGCTGGAACGCATACGGTCTACGGGGTGGCTCGGCTGTCTATCACGAAGTACATGTACTCTCTGCACCAGCTCCATTTGACTTGCACATGATAGATACGTTGCTGGGCATGTCGTAAACGAGCCAACCTTCCCGAGTCGTTCATGACAAGCCGGTGTCAAGCAGGTGCGATCGTGATTGCAAAGGCGGCTGGGCTCTCGTGCTTCCTGCGTGAGTGTTTTCATTATTTACCTCCTATGCAGTCTCTAGCCAGACCGTCCGCGTCGGCAGCTTGCTGGCGCCTGCGCAGATTAAGAAGACCCGAGATCCGAAATAAGATGAAGGAAGTTACTACACAAGAGCTTACAAGCGATACAGCCTAAGAAGCAGGCAGCTCTGATGAGCCTCTCTTCTAGAATAATCACGAGCCGCAATAAACGGTAGCCGGGTAGCGACTTCTAGTGTGGTCTACAATCAATCCGGGATTGCAATCCGGATTGGCTTGGCAATTCAATCCAATCCAATCTGGCTATTCCTGCTGACTAAGCAATCCAATTCAATTCAATCCGGCCCTTTTCTAAAGCAATCCAATTCAATCTAGCCCTTTTTGAAGCAATCCAATTCAATCTAGGGGCTAAAGGGCTAAATTAGGCAGGCTTAGCAATTCAATCTAATTCAATTTAGCTTATTCTTGCTAATTTAGCAATCTAATCTAATCTAATCTAGCCCCTATTAAAGCAATCTAATTTAATCTAATCTAGGGGTCCTAGCAATCTAATTCAATTTAGGGGGGTCTAGATTGATTAGATTAATTGTAGACTATACTAGCGACTTTAGTTAGCGTTAGTATAGTAGTGTTTTTTAAAGTAGCTACGTCCGTATAACGTCCGTATATTAGTATATATCGTAGGGGATTAACTATACTGCGATTAAGCGAGATAGCGGACGGGGGTAATCCCCGTAAACGGCAGCTAGCTTAAAAGCGTTAGACGTAAACTTTTTAAAGGTACGGATAATTCCTTTAGGTAGTACGCTAGCTTTAACTAGTTAGATCCCGTTCTTAGGGATTACCGCCGTCCGCTATCTCGCTTAATCGTAGTATAGTTCTTAGCGCTGCGCCGCTGCCTTCTAATTCGTTAGATTTAAACCTAATTAAGTATAGTTAGGCGTAGATTAAAAAAGTGCTTAGACGCTATAGCTAAATAGGGCCTATTATTAGGGCTAAAGAGGCTATACGTAATTAGTATATAACTAGGCTTAGTAAAGCTAGGGTCTTAGTGCCTTAGGTAGGGCTTAGCGCTTAGTAATAGGCTAACTTGCCTGCCTTCCTCCCTCTCCTCTAAGATCTCTATCGAATACTACCTATACCTACTACTATCCTATCTACCTACTAATATACCCTTGTTATATAGTATTCGATCTACCCTTTAAGGGTAGTAGCTAGATAGTCTCTATTTCAAGCTTTTAGCGGTATAGCTATAAACAAGACTAATCTAACTATATTACGCCCGAAGAACGGGACCTATACGTACTATTCTATCGAAACAACTGTACTAATTATTAAGCAAGGCCTTCTATACGGCCTATTATACTAAGTCAATCGTACTAGACTAATATCTACTAATTCCGCTATATCCGCATCTTAGGGGCTAATAATACATTATTAGTGTCGCCTCTTATAATAGCCGGTTTATTACGAAACAACAACCGTGCTACCGCTAGTAGCGCTAGCAACGATAATACTAGTAGCACAGTACCTACTAAAGTGCCTACTAAGGTACCTACTAAAGTACCTACTAAAGAGCCTACTACTAGGCCTGCCGAAGAACCTATAGTTCTAGGTAACGACCTAGAGTTGCCTATTAACGATATACTTAACAACATCGTTAACCGACGATATAGCTAGCTAGCCTTTAGGCCCTAGCTAGTAGCGAGACTTTAGGAAGCTACCTAAAACAGGCTCGCTGCTCTACGCTAAGAACAATAGCTAAAGGATAATCTTCTCGAGATTCGTCGCCTTTAGGAAGCCCCGACAACTAAACTAATAGCAGGGCCTTCCTTACTAACTATTTAAAAGAAGGATACTAAACTCAAGGATTGCACTATATTCGATAGCTCTAGTCGGAAACAATATAACGACTATATTCGTAACTGCGAGCTTAACTAGCGCAATGCACCGAGAGCGCTGCTAGATAACTATTCCTTAGTCGTCTATGCTATATAGTATATTAATAGAGACCTAAAACGTACCTAGGATAACCATTTTAATTCCCTCGAGGATTAGACCGCTATTTAGTAGCAAACCTATAAAACTATTATACTAGACACCCTTAGAAACCCTATACTAAGGCAACAACATACTTAGGACCTATATCTTCGAGCTAAACAAAAGACTAATCAATCGGCCCGCTTATTCGAGGCCTATTTAAAAACCCTTAAAGACGACCTTCCGCTTAAGACTAATTCTATATAGATCTCCGAGATACGCCTAAAACTTAGATAGGAGCTTATCCTTAAATTAGACCGTCGCCGTATGTTCGAACAAGCCAATCTAATACGTATTTAATTTATAGTCGAAGTAGAAACAGCCGAACGGGCTATTTAGCTCTAATAACGACTAGAATTAAGGATCCGACTAACTAGTACTAACCGTAGCAACCGTAGCCGCGGAGGAAACTAAGGTTCCTACTAGGACAACAATGCTAATAGTAGGAACAGTAACAACGACCGTAGAAGAGGCCGTAGCCGTCGGCTATATAGAGGAGGCCGCGATAGGGGCCGTAGAAGGGGCTCATATCCCTATAATGCTAACCGCTCGGCTAACAATAGCAATAACAGCTACGGCAGTCTACTAACCGGATTGAAGTGCTTCAATTGTAATAGCACTAGCTATCTACTAGGCTAATGCGACAAACCTAAGAACTAGGCCCGAATTGACTATGCTTCCGCCGAGTATAGGAAACATCTTTTAGCCGCTAATGCTACCTTAGTCGGCTCTTTTAATTAGTCGAAAAAAGAGTAAGCGCCGCACTAACTATTAGCCTTATACGGCGTAAGACTATCGACATTGTGCTAGCTATAACACGCTCCTGCCTTATATAGGATACGAAGGGCACTAGCTATTAAACTAAGGTTATACTAGATCTAGGAAATTCAGTTAGTGCCCTTATCAGCTATCGCCTAGCTAAGCAATTAGACCTTCGACAACTGCCGAGGGCTAACCTACTAACCCTTGCTTAGTTTAATAACGCTCGGCACTTAACCTATAGGGCCTACTATATTCCTATAGCTCTAAAGGACGACCTCGGAAATAAACGCCTACTAGACTTTACTGCCTACGTAGTAGATACAGACAACCTATATAGGGGAGCTGCTATTGTTATTAGCAACCCTGTTCTTAAGTACTACGCTATAGCTATAGACCTAGGCCTCTAGAAGTAGCGATTTAGAATCGCTAGAAAAGAGGACATTAAATACATTAATATTAGCGAGTATCCTAATGATATTAGGGTCCTATTTATTAGCAACCTAACACTAGCCTCCGCCTTAGCTAATCCGACTACCGATTTGCTCGGTAGTAATAACGATGAACCTATGCCCCCTAATAATCCTAATTAGCTTACTCGTATACTAGAGCCTATTCGAGAGACTTATATTAATGTATTCAAACATTACCTAGCATCGATATTGCCTATATTTAAGGAGACGGATTATAAGATTGATATTGTAGAGGGCAAGGAGGTTCCTTTTAGCCCCCTCTATAACCTTAGTAAGCAAGAGCTTACTATATTACGTAAGTACCTAGAGGAAAACCTAGCTAATAGCCGCATTCGGTATAGTAACAGCCCTGCTAGTGCCCCTATCCTATTCGTACTAAAGAAGGATAGTAACCTGCGCCTTTATATCGATTATCGTAGGCTTAATGCTGTTACTATTAAAGATCGCTGTCTGCTTCCTCTTATTAATAAGACCCTCGATCGCCTTTCTAGTACCTACTACTACACTATATTAGACATTAAGGACGCCTATTACCGCATTCGTATTCGCAAGGGCGATAAATAGAAGACAGCCTTTCGCACTCGCTATAGCTATTTCGAGTATTTAGTTATACTATTTAGGCTAGCTAATGCCCCTACTACATTCTAGTCCTACATTAATCGGGCCCTATTAGGCCTACTAGACTACCTCTATATAGTTTACCTAGATAACATCCTAGTTTATATACACTTACCTAACATTGCGGAGTACTAGGCTATAGTCCGTAAGGTGCTCGATCGCCTACGAGCCTATAGACTATATTGCAAGCCTTCTAAATATACCTTTGCTGCTAAGGAGGTAGCCTTCCTTAGTTTCATCGTATTAACTAATAGTATTAAGGCTAATCCTAATCGGATTAAAACAATTACTAAATAGCCTATTCCTACGTCTATTAAGGAGCTTTAATCGTTCCTCGGCTTCGCTAATTTCTACCGCCGGTTTATTAAGGGCTATTTACGGCATGTAATACCCCTAACTAAGCTTACTAAAACTAAGGCCAACCTAACTAGAGAGTTTAAATAGACTAACAGAGCACAAGCCGCTTTTAACGGCCTAAAGCAACGCTTTACTAATGTCCCCTTGTTATACTATTTCGTGCTAAGTAAGCAGATCCGTATCAAGACTAACGCTTTATAGTTCGCTATATCGGCTATTATATTATAGCAATCAGATAAGGACTATTACTAGCACCTAATTGCCTTCTTCTTACGAAAGATAATCGATATAGAGCGTCGCTACGAGACCTACGAGTAAGAGCTCCTAGCTATTGTCGAGGCCTTTAAACATTAGAGGCACTATCTCGATAGTGCATAGCACACTATTTAGGTCTATATAGACTATAACAACCTCTGTAGCATTACTAAGGTTACTAGGGTTATAGGTCGACAGGCTAGATAGGCCGTCTACCTCGCCGGGTTTGATTTTAATATATTATATCGGCTAGGCGTAAGCAACCCTGCTAATAGCCTATCGAGGCGACCTAATTATAATAGCGAGACTTAGTACATTAATTCATTGTTTCTAACCCTGCAGCATAAGATTGCTATAGCCCGTATTGTTAATAAGCAAGCGTAGGATAAGCGGACTTCCGGACCCCGCGGCGGCAACAAATACTATAGCGGAGTTGTCGTTCTTCTAGTATACGTTAAGAAGGACGTAGATCGCTCGAGCTATAATAACTCGATTAAAGATATTGCTATCTATAGCGACAGCACTATAGAAGAGGTTGCAGTAGTTCCGGCTACTAGTGCTATTAGATATATATAATACGTACCTCGTTCGATAGTACGGGTGCTATTAAATAACCTTATAAATAGGGATAGTTAATCGTTTATAGATAAGCTATTATGTACTTAGCAGAGGGACGCCTTTGCTATCGAGCGCATTAATAAGCTTATAAGTAGGCGAACGACTTAATCTAGTAAGAGTAATAGTTAGTCGATCGACGACAAGGGTTACTTAAGATTTAAGGGCAGATACTATATCCCCGCTAAACAATCGATTAGATAAGAGCTTTTAAAGAGGCACTATAATAGTAAGCTCGCTAGTTACTATAGTATAGAGAGGTCGCACGAGTTACTATCGCGTATATACTACTAGCTAAATAGTAAGCGGTATATAAAGGAGTATATATAGACCTATATAGTATGCTAGCGAGTTAAAGCACCGAAGCACTTGCTGTTCGGCGAGTTGTCTTCGCTCCCTATTCTAAAGAAGCTATTTACTAAGCTAATAATAGACTTTATTATAGGCCTTCTACCTGCTAGGCGTAGGGGCAGCAAGGACGTATATAATGCTATCCTTATTATAGTAGATCGATTTACTAAAGGCGCTCGATACATCCCGGCGCGGAAAGACTAGACTGCTATTAATATAGCAGAGGCGCTATAGAGTAACATCTTCTATACCTATTAGGGAACCCCTAAGGGGATAGTCTTCGATAGAGGCTCGATATTCATATCTTACTATTAGAGCGAGATCTGCTTATAGCTAAGACTAAAGCATCGGCTGTTAATAGCCTTCTATCTATAGACTAACGGTTAAATAGAGAGGCAGAATACTACCCTATAGTAGTACCTACGTAGCTATATTAATAAGAACCCCGAGGATTAAGTCAACCTCCTATAGCCTATAGAATTCGTATATAACAACAGTGTACACTTATTAACTAAGGTTTTACTATATATAGCTATAATAGGTCAAAACGCCGCGTTGCTATAAGATCTATTTACCTCGCTCGAGGCCGAGCGTAAGGAAAGGGAAGCGCGTTAAGTACTAGAGACACTAGCGGCAATAGAACGTATCTAGAAGATACGAGAAATCTATACTAAGATAGCTAAGAAGTTAACAAAGGCTTAAGAATACCAAAAGGCCTACTACGATAAGCGTTATATACTAATAACCTTCAAATAAGGCGATATAGTTATACTTAGTACTAAGAACCTCCGCATCCGTAAACACCTATCGCCTAATAGTAAAACAAGGCCTAAGCTCGTACTAAGGTACATTAGCCTATTTCGCATCCGAGAACCGAAGGGCAATAGCTAGGCCTACTAGTTATAGCTTCTACCTTATTATACTATCTATAATACCTTCTATATCTCCCTCCTTAAACTATACTACTAGCGCGAAGGCGATAAAGCACCTGCTAAATCCGAGGACATACTAGCTAATAGCGAAGAGCTATAGTCTATAGAACGTATCCTATAGTATCGGACTAGGAAAGGCAAGAAGGAGTACCTATTAAGATAGTAAGGCTATTTACCTAAATAGGACTCGTAGGAAGCTAAAGCCTCTTTTAAAGACATAACTAAGTTGTTAGATAAGTATTAGACTAGTATAAAGAATAAGAAGAAGGCTAAGGGCCTATAATATCGCCTAGGAACAATGCTACCCCTAGGGTGCTATTAGCTAACTAATTAGAGACAAGCAAGTGTTAGTAACAAAGGACAATAAGACTATACTAGGCGCGCTACGACGCGTTAATTAATTAATCGCATGCTCTTTTAAGGACTCTACCTCTTTACTAACGCGCCCTATAGGTCCCCCTCTTATTCCTTTATTCTATCGGAGCCTTAAGACCTAGGCGATCGGCGAGGACAGCGCGGCCGGCGTAGCTATGTTAGTAACGGTATTACGGAGTGTGTTACTGTTTAAGAAAGGAAGCTATATTAGTAACGGTGTTGCCGAGTTATTGTTAGTTAAAGAAGGAACTTAGAAGAAGGTAAAGTTAGCGCTAAGACGACTAGCGCTACTATTATTAATATTACTTACTATTGTCGCTGCGCCTATAGACACAACCTTACCTACACTACGAGCCTAAGGCACCTTTAATTAAAACTTTAATTAAAAGCTTTAAGCCTATTAAAGGTTCGATCAAAACTTTAAGGCTAAGTTAAAACTTTAACTAAGTTAAAAGATTAAGTAACTAATAGACTAACTAAGGGCAAAAACTATAGAGCTAAGCTAGCCGGGGTCGATCTTGTAGATAATAGGTTACTCCTCGATCTTTCTAACCCTTTAAGCAAGGCGAACCTTAACTACTACACTTATAATAGCCTTTACTTATAGAAACTAGACGAGCTATGTTTTTTCTAAAAAGTAAATAATAGCCCTCGTAATAATAAGAACAAACTCTCGGAAGCGGACAACCCTCGGAAGCGGACATTGCTAGGTCTTTTAAGAGTAGACGTAAAGAACTCGATACGATATTACTTAGAACGGAGGTAGTGCTATAATACCTCGTATATCTACCTATTATAGTAGGGAAGACGCGCTCGTATTATAATTAGTCGAAGGCCTTTAATTCTTATAGATACATATCGCTTTATAGTTTATTATATATAGAGATAGCGTAGTTAGAGTTATATATTATATTGTTTAGAGGTAAGGTTTAATATAGTTATATAATTAGGTAGTTAAGTGTTCAATTTAGCGCGGGCTAAGCAGCTTATTAGACTTGCTAAGTTAGCGGCAATAGAGGTCGTAAAACATAGACAGGCTACGAGGGCGCGGCCTTTAGAAGGGAAGCGTATATCAGGGCCAAAGAGGCTACACGTGATTAGCATGTGACTAGGCCAAGTAAAGCCAGGGTCTCAGTGCCTCAGGCAGGGCTTAGCGCTTGGCAATAGGCCAACTTGCCTGCCTTCCTCCCTCTCCTCTGAGATCTCTATCGAATACTACCTGTACCCACCACCACCCTATCTACCTGCTGATATACCCTTGTCACACCTGTCTTGTGCATTCGCGAAGCCGTTCGGAGTCTCGGAGACCAGGATGAGGACCTTACCAGCACCTTCTGCTCGTTTCAACGTACTATAGACGGACTAGCGCTTGGATCATAGCAAATCTGACTTCATCGAGAAGGCGGCAAAGGAAACACCACTGATGAGCGGCTTCTCGAATGCATAGGACATCCTGTAAGCACTCGTAATGTGGCAGGCATTGATCTTCATCTGGCCCGCCCACGATGCATTCAGCCCAGGTATGGAGTTCGGCATATGCCATTCTCTCGAAGTCTTTCCATCTTGGCGAACGAACATCAAAACACGCAGGAACATCCCGAAACGTCACTTGGCTGGTTAAACGGTCAGTCACAAATGTCCATCAATGCCAATCTGTGACGTTATTCCACGACAAACTCACCTTCGTACATCGACCTTGCTTATCCACGGCCAGAGTTGCATCGCCAGCCGCATAGGTGCTATCACTTTTGGCCATCTTCCCAGCGCATTCATGGCAATCTCTAACTCCTGATCCACACTTCGGGTCACTATCCAGCTTCCAAATAGAGGCGTCTGCAGAATCCCAGAAATTCTCCGGTAGGACCTCTTGCGGTGTGAGGATGGGGTCCGTGGCACTGAGGCTCGACTGCTCGTTAGGGAGCCATTCCCTCGGAAGAGCGCCGTTACTAGAGTACTCTTGAGGAAGATTGTCCCGAGCTACGATGGCGTCGGATGTTCGTTTTGGGCCAGCATAAGCTAGGCTGCCATAACTGAGGTAGCATGCAAGGGCTAGTCGGATATGCATCACACGAGGTGAAATTCTGCAATCGCAAACTCGATGGCCGACACAGTGGCGACGACAACCAAAGGTGTGTGTAGTGTTCAGCTGATGGTACTACTGTTAGATGGTGCTTAACGTAGCTTTCTTTGCCCACCAGACGTGTTCTGGCAACTCCCGCGTTGTCCGGGACAAGGGTCAGAACAAGGATCGATTTAGCGGAAAGATGAGAGGTCAGAACAACTGGAGTCGCTTGTGGCCAAAGGCCGCAGTACTGCTGGTGTTGTATTGACTAACGGCATTTAAAAGCCACCTACAGCACCTCTGCGCACAGGAGTGAAAGACTTGACATGTAAGTGATGTTGTATTCAGAAGAGGGCTAATCTACAGAAAGCCCAAAGATGAAGTGTGCAGTTGCAGCCTCAGGCATCATGCACGTGATAGAGACCCTACACCACACACACACACATCAAGTGAAAGTGGACCTCGAAATCCAGCATTGGGGAATTTAGTGCTTTCACTCCGATGTGCCAACGCGGTGTATGTCCCAAGAAACACTTCAATCCTACTCGCTCCCCCCATCATCGAATCATCCCTTTCATTCCTTCTTCACCGGTACAAGGCCCTTCAATGGTAGGGCGCTGGTCAGCCCGCTGAGAGGCGACAAAAGAGAATCAGCACCGCCGCTTAGGCCTGGGAGCTGTGGTACAGGCATGGCGACCGCTGAGCCAGCAGCGAGCGAAACAACCACGGCGATGATCTTGGTGAACTGCATCTTCGAAACTACCAATGCGTATCAGCGCCGCCCAAACATCATTCTTCATCTCATGTGATACTACTCACAGGCTATTGAAAAGCTGCCGAGGGATTCCTTGGAGATGTTGGTGCAATGGGTGTGGACGGCTTAGAAGCTGTGCTGGGAGGTTTTGGAGCGGATGGTGCTATGACTATAGAGAGCGTCTTTGGTCGGATAGGAGAGCCAGGACAAGCTGGTGCTGGCGGCATTTTGCTGTTTATTATACTGCTGTTCGTCCAAATTGCTCAAGAGGCTGCTGTCTCGAAACAGCGAAGTGTGCGGAATGTTTTGATTGCATTTTTGGCGCGACGCAATACTCCTTGTCAATCACGAACTTTGGAGTGTCACGGAGTCCATTGAGAGGTCTGTCGAGCATTAAGCTCGCGAATTGGCGCGGAAGTGCAAGCATGGTGCTGGCAGGATGAAATAACACACTGCCGAAACAAGACGCAAACCTTGCCGAATCGCAGGACTCGTCACTCGTCCCTCGCATTTCGTCACTCGTCACTCGCATAAAGTCGACGCTGATGAAAGCTTCACGCTGGCAAGCCGCAATGATGTGAGCGCTCATCAACACCTGAGTCTTCTGCAATAATGATCACAGACAATAACCGAGGCCTGAAAGGGATGAGTGCATGCACAGATCTTCACATGGGAAGGAGATTTGAGAGGAAGTTGATCCGCAAAGTCTTGATGATTCTCGTTGACAGCTATGCGAGAATGATCCTTGTTTTCAGAAACACACCATTGTTTGGGTTTCTCGAACGGTGTAGTCGAAGGAAAATTCTGGGCCATAGAGATCTTGTTCTTGTTCCAGTTCAGTCCTCTCGGGGAAATTTCTCCGGAAAGATCCAATGTAGCAGTAGCAATGCCAGTGCCACTGCAATCAGGAAGCCTAGGACGACCCCAGGGAAACTTGGTGTGATGGCAATTGCCCAAACGTGGATCTAACGAATGTCCCATAGTAGTGATCTCGATGCGATTGGGAATAGAACGTTGTAGCCCATGCGGCATGCAGTCTGAAGTGAGAAGTCGCATGAGGAAACAGACGATCGAGATTCAAATCTGTGCACGGCCGTGGCCGGACTTTGCTCCGAGTATCACAAACATTTCAGAGTGCAAAGTTGGCAAATCAAAACGGTCATACAAGCCTCGCTGCATTTTGTGGTTACTCTCTCATAGAAAATTCCAAGACCGCCGTGACGCGCCACACTGAGAGGCATCTCTGAACCTCTAGACATGCATCACAAAAAACGCCTCCGCTATGCCTGCTTCATAATAATAAAAAGGTATCTTTTTGCCATCCCGATGTGCTGTTTCGCGAATTTGAAACGCAAGTAAAGTGTGGTATCGCTGCTAAGATCCTGTACCCAAGAATTCTGCTGAAACAAGAGGTCGCCAGGATCTCTTAGCAGCTGCCCAAGAACGCCTTACGCTGAAACGGGAGAACGAGTTTGTGACATACGAAAATTGTGGATATTCCGCCGTTATCCACTGGAGATGTTGCGATGCCCTGAGCTGGTACCCTTTGCGAACCTCGGCGATGGCGTAGGCTCTGGACTGAAAACGTTCCTGCGAGGCAAGTCGGGCTCGGGGCTGAAGACATTTCTCCTTCGCGAAAACGATTCGGGGCTGATGGCGGTTAGCGGTATGGGGCTCCTCTCGGGGCTGTACATGTTTCGGCGGCGGATTGGACTTGAGTAGCTTGGACCGAAAACATCCTATCGTCCAGTACCACTTCCACTCAGATCAACCGCGGCGCCGGTTCCTCTCCTTCTCCCGGCTCTATGGAGCTGCTGTTGCTGATGCGCAGCAACGGCAACGGCACTTCTCGTGCCTGCGCTCGGCGGAAGGTGGGTTGGTGATATTTGCTGCTCAGTACGATCTCGATGTCGACCCGGCGATAATAAGCTATCGTTCACCGGAGCTAGGCTCATCCTGCCAGAAGGCCTCTGGGACCTTTCGCGACCGACCGGGACCCTGCTAGAACTTCGAGATGCCGAGCCCATGGGCGCAGCTATCGAAGCGATCGAAGCCAGGGATGACGATGAACCAGAACTGCCATCACGACTCATTGGTCTTGTCGAATGGCTGAGACCGACTGCAGACTGTCTTCTGTCGATGACAGGGTGCGGTATGAGGTCAAAGTAGCTGCTGTTCCTGCCATTGACACCGCTAATGCTTCCTGCCAATGGTGTAGGTGGTGTCATCATGCTCATGCCGCTTGAGGATCGCCTTGGGAGGCCGTAGGGTTTGGCTCTGGATGGTGTCGGTGCAGGACTGGCATCTGCCAACTCACTGCTCTTCACCAATTCATTAGCCATCTCGCGAACCAGGATCGCGGGGTCATGGCGGGCAAGTTCTCGAACGGCATCGAGCAATCCGTATCTGCGAAGTAACGAGCCGCCTTCACCGAGAGTGCCATTCTCGATCATGCCTTGACCTTCGCAAGCATCGCATATGCTGCGGATCACACGAAGCAGATTGAGGCGTACAAGTGCCTTCTTGGAGTGCATTTTGACAGCCGCTCTCTCGAACAAGGTGACTTGAGCGAGACTTGCAGCGACTGCCGGGCTCAGTCTTAGCAGTTTTTGCAACGGCTCCAGGAGGTTCTCAAAAGCATCAGCCTTGCTCTCGTTGAAGCTCTGCGCAACCGCCTGACTGAACTTCAGTGGTGGATCCAAGAGGTATTCCTCCACCTTAGCGGTCTCCTCCTGCAACCACACGAAGATTGCATCGAGTGCAGTCACTGCCCAGTATTGGTCGGCAAGCAGCGAAACGTAGAATTGCAGGCCCTTGTTCTGCCACAAGATCTTGCGGCCTACTTTGCCGCTGTGCGCCATGTCACAGATGATAGGCAGCGCAAACTCCTTGAGCGGACGCTCCGTCTTAACGATTTTCTGTAGTAGAGGCACGATACCGTTGAGTGCCGCATCCTCTTGACGTGCATTCGACAGACGGCAGAGGTTGTACATGGTAGCCAGTATCTGGTTGGATATGTCGCGGAAGTGCTGTGCACCTGTAGCCGTAGGCCGCCTGTTGGCCTCCATGCTGGATCCGAGCAGGTCTGTGAGCACCTCGATGGCGTTGCTGTTCTGAAGATCCTCAAGTGTTGTGGCAAGCATGCTTAAGTTTTTGATGAACTTCAACATGACTATTTGATTTGTCGGCCGCAGGCGTCGCAAATCTTTGAGCACTCGCTTCAAGACCATCCTCTCTGCAATAAGCTCCTTCACATAGTTCTCAGCTTGACTGAACAGCAGGAAGATGTTGACAATGCGACCTTCGATGACATCTGCCAGCTCTCGATCGTCCTCGTCCAAAACTCTGTTGAGGACAAGGGATAAGGGATAGAGCACAGCACTGCGCGAGAATATCCGGCAGAAGTCATTCTTCGGCGTTGGTCCTTGCAGTTCAAAAACTGACCAGATACCATTCACGCCAACCAGGACAAGTTCGCGGCCGGCCTCCGAGTCGTAGTCCTCTTCCAGAAATTCCACGAGGACGTTCAAACCACCGCAAGAGATAAACATCTGCAGTGTGAGCCCAGGCGTCGGTGTTTGGTACATCATACGTACGAAATTCGCGGCCTCGAGCCTGATTTCGGAGGCATACTTCTTTTGTGCAAAGCGAGTGATGATCGGAATGCCGCCAACGAAGCAAAGATTCTCCTGAATCTCAATATTGTCGTACAGGATCGCATTGAGTATCTTCAGGAGACGTAAGATAATGCCGGGCCGTGTAGTCGTCTCCAAGATTTCCAGTATCGGCAGCATGCCGTGACTGCTGACGATCACATTCTTTACATCAATGCTCTCTGAAAGAATCTGTAGAAGCTGGTCCACAATCTCGGCAAGTACGTCTTCAGGTTGGGCAGCCTTCAGGTCTGAAACAAGACTTTCCACAGCAGCACAGAGGCGTGCATGTTTGTCTCTGGCGACATTGGATTCGAGGTCGACCTCGTCCAATTCCTCCTCGAGTGCTTTGAACGGATCCTCTTCATCGTCCTCTTCATCCTCGCCCCACGAAAGGGAGTGAGTAAGCTTCAGAGTACCACTGGAGCCACTTCCCACGGATCGTGGGCTGCCTCTGCGGACTTGGCCCTGCTCTTTCGCAGATTGCAAACTCATCGGCTCCTCGTCGAAGACCAGATCGGTGTGGAAGTCTTCATCTTCATCGTCTTCGGCATACTTTTGAATCTCCAAGCTCGACCTAGTTCTTCGCATTGCTGCTGCATCGTGCACGAGCATGGTTGGAGTGTGGGTTCTGCGCCGTTTCATGCTTCCGCCCAGCTTTGTGGGCATGTTTCGCATGTCATTAGGACCAAAGCGACTCGGAGAAAACCCTGCAACCTTTTTGAAGAACTCATCCTCGTTATTAGGAACCAGATCTGAATAGTCTTCTTCATCCTCTTCGCGGAAGCGCTCCTTGTCAGATGAGATTGGTCTGGATGGCTTCTTTATCGGTTGATTAGCGGCGCTCTTTACCTTTGGTATCGAGCTTTGTTTCGAAGCCGGCCGCAATATCTGGGTGCGTGGTTGCGAGTCTTTACTTGCCTTGCGCTCATGGTCCCCGGAGCGTTTGCGGCCTGCAGCAAGGCTGACCGGCGTATGGTGCTTAATTTCGTCGGAAGTCGTTCGTGACGGATAGAAAGGACGCACAGTCTCCACTGCGTTGCCTTCCGACAGCTGCAAATCTGACTTAACCGTCAGATCGCCTTCGAACTCCTCATCCCACTCCTCAACCTTGCCATCCATCTCTGGAATTGCATCGATATGAGCGAATCGTTTCAGCTTCTCCGAGCTGAACAACCCTGCAAAGTTGTCCTGCGGTTTTAGATGATCTGGGATCTGTAGGCCTCTCATGCCAGTGTTGAGCGATTCAAAGTCATTGTCCCAATTATCCCGACACACATCCTCTTGTGGAGATTGGAAGGCCTCCGCGGCTTGCGACTTCCTTGGACCCAATCTAAATGCAGGTTTTGGAGGCAGATCCGCTTTGCTCTTCACTCCACCACCACCAAGTCCTGATTTGGTGGAACTTCTAGAGACAGGCCTGGAGCCGGTTCGGCTTGATGGTGGTTTACGAGCAGCATTGTTTGACTGCGCGGGCGGCGGGCTGGCTTTGAGGGCCTCATTCCATTCTTGTACACTTTTGATTGCTTCGTCGTACTCGGTAGGCTTGGTCTTGTCGGCCTTCTTGGCTGAAACAATCCAAGGATGCTTGAGCAGTTTTTTCGCCGAGACTCGAAGGTTGGGATCCTTCTGGAAGCATTGCATCAGAAAGTCTCTCACCAGTGGACTGGCACCTTCAGGTAAGGGTGGATGATCATCGTTGACAATGCGAAACAGCGCAGGCATGGGTGCAAACTTGTAGTACGGCGGTCTGCCATCAAGCAGTTCGATGACGGTACATCCCAGACTCCATATGTCGCTGGCTGTGGTCGCCCCCGATAATTCGATGACTTCAGGAGCCATCCAATACGGAGTGCCCACCACGCTTCCCTCTGCCAAGCCTCCCTGCTTTGTGGCAACACCAAAGTCGGCCAGCTTGACGAGTCCCTCTTTGGTGGTGAGGATATTTGCGCCCTTGATATCACGGTGGATAACACCCTGGTCGTGCAGGAACAGCAGGCCTCGTAGGACCTGGGCGATGTATAGCGCAACCAGATTCTCGGGAAACTTGCCAAAATTCTTGCAAATCTGGTGCAGGCTGCCTTGTTCGCAGTACTCCAGGATGATGTAGAGCGAATCGGCAGATTTGACGAAACCATGGTATTTGACGATGTTAGGGTGGTGGAGATTCTTCAGCAAGTCGATTTCCTGCATGATGACATTGAGTTCTGTCTTGGGCATGTCGGAAAGGCGCACTTGCTTGATGGCCACAGTCTCGCCATTGGACCAGTTGAGAGCTTGATAGACACTGCCAAATGCACCTCGGCCAAGGCATTGTCCAAGTTGCTGCATGTTGTCAGTAGGATAGGGCAAAAGGGATATATGCTACATGAAGTGAAGAGGGCCATGGCTGAGACAATGTCTTGCAAGCACAACATCACTCGGTCCGGCGTAGAGGATGTATGTGTGAAAGGAGAGGAATAGCACGTACGTAGTCCTTGAGGCCTTCAACGTCCTTGGCGTTCCGCTGCACGGTGCCATCCTTGCTGGGAATCTTCTCACGCGCTGCCAGCACGTTGGCTGAGCTGGTGCGGCGGACTGCAGACCTTGCACCTGTGCTGCCACTGCCACTGCCACTACGATTACCATTACCATTGCCACTGCCATGGCCCCCGCCATTCTCCTTGTCCGAGCTGCCTCGAAGCTTGGCACTTTTCAGAGGTCCACCGCCGCTGCCAACGGGCTGTTTCGGAGTAGCGGTCCGCGACTGTGGTGCGCCGATGCTAGTCCTCCGTGCCTGTGCGGTGGTCGATCGGGCCTGCGACGTCGAGGCTGAGGGCGAGGGCGAGGGGAGGGGCGGCGGCATGGTGGAGGGGCCGACTTATGTATGGCGAGATGTCGGCGGTGTGTGGCGGGACATGGAAGTGGTGCAGGCGGGAGATTGGCCGACAGCAAGGCGGAGCATTGTCAGTAGGCTCGGCGCGTATGTGGACGGCACTGGTCCAGCTCGTGCACTACGGGCTACGAGAGCACGCGATCAGTCGCGTGAGGGCAGCTGGGAGCGGGCGTAGGTGGTGGGTGGTGGGTGGTAGCGGTAGCGGGTACCGTCGCAGTTCGCAGGGCTGATAGAGATAATGCCAGACATCTGCTGCTCTGCGGATGCGTATGCGTGTGCGTGTGCGTATGCCTCAGCGTCGCCCGTGGCCCCGCACACGCGCCTGCCAAACGCGACTCAACTCCTGTCAGAGACAACAACAAAAAACCAGTTGCAAGTTGCAACGCGTAGCCGTAGCGTAGCAAAACGAGTGGCCGCTGGGTTATCCCCTCGCCACTTCCCCGAGCCCCAGCTACCCGCCCGAGCCCCAGTAGATATACCAATATAGAATCGGCCTGAATGAGATTACGTGCTGTTTCCACCTATTACATATTATATCCATTCTTGGTTGGTAGCGCGGAGCGCGTTACCTAGGAAGTCGCGCCTATACCACTAGTACTAGCAGCAACAACAACAATAATAGTCGCTTACACAGCCAACAGGACGGCCACTTCACTACTAGGTGCTGCAACAACAGCACCATCAGTTCACTTAGCAGCAGTATCACATGCAGCAGCAGGCTAGTTAGCAAATAAGTGACCAATATGAGCTAGCATATATAGCATCACGTAGTTACAAGGCTGTAGGTCGTAATCCGCTTAGACCTGAGTAGATAGCAACCAACAACACCTTTAAATTTGCTATACCACTGATTTGCTAACAAACTTTGGCTTCATGGCTAGCAGCAGTATAGAAGTGGTTGCCCGGTCGGTGGTGGTTGCGGGGATCCGGAAATCGCTTCCCTACGCGATTTTGTTAGGAACAGCGGATTCCATAATCCACTGTATTGCTGGGGCTCGGGCGGGTAGCTGGGGCTCGGGGAAGTGGCGAGCGGGTTATCCTGGGGCCTGGGGCCTGGGCTGGCTGTTGACGGACCCCCGTCGACGAGGCGAGATTGACTTTGCCTACCTGCGTCGGCGACGTCGGGTGCCTCGCGCCCGATCCACTCACAAGCGCATCCTCGTCCGTCGGCATTGCTATATACGCTATATAACCAGGACGAGCTGCACATGCTCGAGGTACAGAAATGACGTCCATCTCCAACACACCCTCGATCGTGGAGTCAGGCAGCAAGGCAGCGAGCCTCCTCGGGGTATCTACTGTGTTGATCCGAGGGCAACCGCTTGTTTTGGGAAGATGCCTTTTCGCTTTTCGCCTAACTGCTTGTGTACGATGCCGGATTGTGGATGTGGATGTCGATGTCGATCAAAGTGTTGCGGCAGCCAGAATACGCCACAACACGTCCTCGGTCCAACGATAATCGGTGCATGTGCGATCATAATCTTCGAGCTCGGTAGTAGTCGCAAAGCTCACCTTAGCCACAATGATGTTGCCCAGCGTTGAAGCCCTTCTCCCGCAACCCTACGCATATAGGTATTTGTACGTCTCGCGATTCATTACATGATCCCCCCCCATCTACCCGACGCCAGGTGAATCCATCTCTCTTCACCAAGTCCGGCTGTCTGCTACGCGTTGGCATCATGTTCGCAGCTACTCTCCTCACTGCCTCCCTGTTGCTACAAGGCTCGGCCTTGGGCGAAGCTGAGCCCATCCCCAATCCCCATCTGGTTGCTGAGAGCTTCGAGCACAAAGTCCGAGAGCTTGACGAACGTCAAACAGCCCTGCCGCCCAATCAAGGAAGATTCTCCTTCTACGCCGTCAACACTCCAGCATCAGGGCCTTGCGATCTCGCCTACAGCCCAGTCGATGGCAACCTCTATGGCGAGGAGCAATTCATCAACCAGCTGTTCCAGCTGGATCCCAGAACCGGCAAGGTCATCGAGTACCCGATTCCATTCGCAACACCCGTGAGCAACGCGACCTTCGGAACGATTCCGGCTCCTCTAGGCGACAGGACCAAGTTCTCTTGCGCCATTCGTAGTGGTGCAGACGGAAACATCTACGCCTCGAATGGCGTCAACAACCAGCTTGTCCAGCTTCGACTACGCGATAAGCGAATCCGACTCTTCCAGAATCCAACAAACCCAGTCGGCAATCTCTTCCCCTTCAACGATCTCTACACCGACTCTCAAGGCATGTGGGTCACACAAACGACCGGAAACATTCTCCAATACTTCTCTTATTCTCAACAACAATTCGTCACTAGCCTTCAGCGCACAATTCCCACCGCCGCCTCACTGCCACTCGGCGTGTTTGTCGCAAGCGATGGCGTCGTCTATGGCTGTGAAGTCCTCGGGAACAAGATCTTCACATTTGACAAGAGGACTGGCTCTCTGAGAGAGTACACTCTCCCTAAACCACTCCAGGCACCATCCGTTGTTCGCGCCGAGAAGAACGGATGGGTCTACTTCACCCTGCTTTTCGGAAACGGCATGGGCAGAATCAACATGAAGTCCAAGGCAATCGAGTTGTATCCTACCAACCAGAACCCCGGATTCGGATCCGTGAATACTGGGCCTGCGAACGATGGTAGAGTCTGGATGAGCTATTTCGCTTCTGTCAACGCTCTTGCCGGATTCGATGATCAGACCAAAAAGTACACATATGTGCCGTTCCCCGATTCCTTGGCTCAATATGGATTTCCAGGTGCTGTTGGAGGTACGTATTCTGGCAGGTGAAACATGGTCGTTGATATATGACGAATGCTGATCTGTGTCTAGCTGTGCCGCCTTATTTCAATATTGCTGTCAACTACAAGCCAGGAAATGCGCTTTGGTTCAGCACCCCGACGTTCAATGCTATCGGAAGGTACTCTGTGCCCAACAGCAGCAAGGCGAAGAGGGGAGAACTTGAAGCTGAAGAGTGAAGAGGGAGACGGCTTTGCTCTTGGTGGTATGATTGGCATCCTGCTGAATCTTTCAGGCGTCTCGAAAGGGTGGGCGTCCATCGTTTAATATTCTAGCCTATCCATTGACACCATCACCGTTCTGTCTGCTTTACTCACAGCTTTCCCACCCACTGCAGCACAGTACTCAGTCCCCCTCTTTTCGTATAATCTGGCTCGAGGTGTAGATCTTTCACCGCGCCTTCTTTGTCAACAAGCAAGGCAGCTGGCAGCAGCAACTCGAAAGAGTCATCGAAAGTCATGATGGAGGATGTGTGAACCAGCGGCGGCTGATTCATGAGAAAGCATGAGGTGACGCCAAGCAAGCACTGACCGCAGTGTGTCTCCGCCATCGGCCTATAAGTAGCCTGACTGACTAATCCATCTCTCCCTCCACCGTGCCTTCTTCTTTGATCTCAGCGACGCGACACGTAGCCGGCTTGTCGAGATGTGAACAGCTCAGCTCAGGACAGTGCTCGAGGGCAAGCGGTACAAGAGACTCATTTCGAGCGCATTTTGCTTCACTTCCACCTTCGCCGGCACCGGACCAAAAAGTGGGCCGTATATGGGCTTGCGGGCATTGTGAACAGGGCATCACTTGTATTAACCCAGCTCATCTGTGAAATCGCCAAGTGAGGCAAGAGCATCGATTTCGAGTTGAGCTTTTCTCACATTCTCTGTGGCAACAACAACAACAACAACATCAACAACAACAACAACAACAACCTCTTTCCCCACCCAAGATGATATCCAACACGAAGCCCACCCCGGAAGAAACACTTGCCCTCTTCAAAGAAATCGAGCAAAAGTTCCCCTCCCAAACACTCGGAGAAGACAAATGGTACATTCTTCTAATCGCCGCAATCACGACCGGCGGCCACCCTGGGCTCGCGGCCGACCTGTACAAATACCTCATCTCGAAGCCAGAGTTCTCTACGCCCGAGCAGCGGAAAGCGCTCGTCAGGAGATTACGAGAGGCACTCGTCAAGCTTGTCTCGGTCGTGGGCGTGGTGAAACCCTGTACGTTGACGGAAAACGATCGCCGTGCTACATCTGTTTGCTAATTTGTTTCGTTTCCGAATGAAGTGGAGGCGATTTTCTGCATTGCTGGCGTTGAGCGACCGGAAGATCGGGATGACAGCTTCTCGAGGTAAGCAAGCAGCATCGAAGATTGATCTTGATAGCTGGGACGAGAAGGCCTTCAAGCGACGTGAGATGGGCGAGCTCCTCATATTCACCGGGGGCACTACTGAGGGATGATAACGCCGCGACACGAATGGAACGCAGACTGACATAGAAGCTAACATCCCGTCTCCTCACAGAGAAACCTGGTCCTCCGGCCCATCAAATCGCCAACGAGGTCGAGAATGGCTGGACAAAATCTATCGATCCAATCACACCGCCACCGAGAACACACTCGCATGCCACAAAGACTTCGAATGGCTCTCAATAGAGATCAGCTACGGCCTCTATCTCTCCGACCACAGCATTCTCGGCCCTGTAGAGACAGAAATCATAGTGTTGTCCGGAATCTTGATGCAGAATGCTGCCAGAGAATCAGCTTGGCATCTCAGAGGCACGAGAAGGATTGGTGTGTCCTCTGAAGATGTTGAGACGATACAACAATGTATTGAGAAAGTCGCTGACTTCTGTGGGTGGAAGCTCGACAAGATTCCTCGAGTCAAGGATATTGAACATGAAGTTCCGTGGGAAAGTGGTGCTTAGAATGAAGGAGTCAGCATCGATCATTATTAGACCCGAAGCATAGACGAGATTGAATTCGATGAAGTGGTAGCCCATAACGATCATGAAATTGCCAGCCGCTGCCCAAATGCATGCTACATCCAAAAGGGTATCTAAGAATGAATGATCCATCTCACTGTGCTCATCAATAAGTGCAGGGCATCTCACATCGTTGAAAATGGTCGTCCGCTTTCTAGCTCGTGGAGGGCCACTGGATCCGCATCGTCCCAATCCGACGCATCGACTTCAACTACACCAGCTCTTCGTAACAGCGTAGCTGAAGGATCAGCACAGTCGAAAAGATTGATCTCCTCGGCTGAAATTCCCAGGTGGTACTAGCCACTTTCATCTGGCCCTGCAACCTCCTGCGGCGTCTGTTCAATAATGACCCGAGAAGTTCGGAGTTGACTTCCAGTCGTGACATTTGTGCGTCTGACGTTTTGTATCCGACTACCGGCATCATCCTCAGAATGCTCCGAGTCTGCATCCGAAAGTTCGTCATCATCACTATCGGAAAATAGGCTTGACAGAGCCGTGGGTGTCAATCGCGAAGCGGCACGGCGAGAACTACGTCTCGGTGGCTGCCTTGCCGCTGCCGAGCTTTGCTGGTCATCGGACACTTCGAAGCTCGGAACAGCCGTTGAGGGGAGCATAGAATCGGTTGTGAAAGATCGTCGGTATGATCGAGGCGCGGCGTTGAGCAGAACATCGGCTTCGTCCATTATCATTCGACTGTTTCTCATGGCCTGTGCCATCTCATCGTCACCCATGACCGGAGTAGGACTGCCTTGTCGTGTACGTGGAGAAGCAGCTGCGGCGGCTTGCGCCCTTTCAGTTTCGATTGTGTCCGTCAACCAAGCGATCGTCTCCTTGAAGTGGGTGCCCTGACGATCACGACTGCAGACGTTGTCGACTTTCTTTCGAATGCTCTTAATAATGCCAAGATAGTACGACGCCGTATGCAATCGAGCGCAATACCCTCCGCAGTGGTGCGATTGGCAGCGCGAGCATGCCGAAGATTTAACCTTTTCCACCACTGTCTGCTCGAGCTTCGTCTTCAAGGCCAAGAATAAGGTGTCGTCAATCTGTCGAAAGTGCACACCATTGGCCAGCTTCTGCGATCCAGTCATGTGCGCGCCACAGTAGCCTCTAAGATCCATGGCGGCAAGCAAGTTGTGCAAGCTATCAATCAATATTCGGGCAACATGTTCGGCGATGTAGGCTGGGTCCTTGGAAGAGGCTGCTAACGGTCGCTTCTTGCCGTTTTCCTTCTGTGCTGTCTCCAAGGTGTGATTCATGACTCTGTTCAGGTCCTTGGCGGTGGCTGCAAGTGCTTCTGAGCCTGCAGCGAAGAGTTCCGAACCAGCAGAACCGACCAGCCTACGGTCTGCACTCTCACGAAGCTCGAGTGATCTCCGCACGGCGCGTTTCAAGGCAGCATCGAACTGGCCTTGGGTCAGCTCAGTCAGGGTGTCAATGGTGAACGTCGAGTAATCGCGATGTTGGTGTGCCTCGTAGGGTGGCAGATAGCCCTTTTGATCGGCAATGGTGTTGTAGGCAGGTGGCTCTCCCCTTCGCAGGTCTTCTCGCTGGGCTCTCTCTTCGTTCTCCAGCCTCTGCAACTCGGCCAGATCGTTTTCGACAGCTCTTAGAACGCTTTGGCTCGTGTCGTAATGCATCTGCATGATCTGACAGTTGGTCCACATATTATTGTAGTCCTGTTTTGCTTTCTTTGCCTCATCCTCGATGCAGCGGTACTTGGCGTTGAATCGCACTCGCTCTTCGTCCAGGATCTTTTCGTGGCTCTCGTTCAGCTTCTCGATCTCGCGGTCTTTTTCGGCCTTTTCGGAAGCCACGATCCTGCTCCAGCGGTTTCGTTCAGACTGAAGCTGTTTCTCGGCGCGATATTGCTGGAGAACAGCCTCGAACAGAAGGTCTTGCCTCACGCCGAGTTCGCGTTTAGCACACTCAGCCTGAAGATTGAAGCAACAAGGTCAGCGCTGACATACGATACATGGGACGATGGACGGCGGCGGATATAGCATAAGAACATCCGGGTCCGTACAACCTACTTTTGTCTTCTCCATCAAGACCTTCAGGCCCTTGATCTCGTCACATGCCTCCCTAAACAGGCGCCCGAGGTGGTATATGTGTTGGTCTCGGTCTCCTTGCTCGGCAAGGATAGAGTGGCGCATGGCGGTAGATGAGCTTTCTGGAGCGATCGAGTGCGGCACGTGGGCAACGGCGGGTATGGATATATGCAACGAAGGGTCTTTCGAGTGCGATCTCTTTTTCTTGCGTGAAGGTCCGGCTTCTGCAGATGCCGCTGCCATCACACTCGAGTGCCTCCTCTTCATCTTCTTCCTCGGCCGTGGAGTGGCAGTCGGGGAGGAGGTCGAGTCGTTGAAAGCGAAGCGACGAGCATGGGTATTGCTTTCCCCGTTTGTGAGGGAAAAGGTCGGGGCTAGCTTGCGTTTGAGGAAGGTGCCGCTTGGGACTTCGGCGGTGGGTATGTTCTCTTCTTTCTTAGTGAAGCGTGGAGGTAGCAGCGGCAGTTTGTTCTCGCGTTTCTCTTTCGGCAGGCTTGGGCTTGAGCTCGAGACATGCTCACTGCTCTTGACTCGTGCAAGCTCCAGCACATCTGCATCTGCCATAGCTGCGATTGTGCTCTAGGCTTGACCTCCTTTCCGACGATATTTCAGCTGACTCCAATACCACTGAGTGTCTTGACGCTTCGGAAATACACGTCTGGATTGAGCATGTGCTGTTCCGGGGGGAGGCGAGGCGAGGCGCGGCGCGGCTGGTGCGACAGGAATCATAGGGTCAGGGTGAGCTGGCGAGAAGGCTGGAAGTGGAGGTGGAGGTGGAGGTGGAGGTGGAGGTGGAGGTGGGATGCATTGTCAGCGTCAGGCTGGAGGTCGCTGGAGCAGGTGATGGGGGAGAGCTGATGCGAATGCTGGTGCTACACTGCTACTGCTCGGCGTGTTGGCTCATGCCCACCCGGTCCCGGTCCCTGTCCCGGTCCCGAGACCGGGGGCCAGACGCGTGAAGGCAGAGCATCAGCATCAGCATCGCGTCCGCGTCCGCGTCCGCGCAACTTCAATGCAGATATACATACATATCCTATCCAGTGCTCCCTTCTCTTTCCAAATGCACCCCGGCCACCACTTCGAGAGCATCACGAAACCCACGTTCCTCGACATTCTGGCGCAATATCCACATGTCGTTCCTGGCAAGCTCAACGATCTGGACAAAACGCGTTATGGCATGCGGCCCACTCCTCCAGGAAAGACACCCGGCGCATACTTCACCAAGGATCAAGTCGTCACGCTGGTAGAATGGAAGCTGTCTCATGGTACTTTCCGGCCGAAGCTCAAGCAACTTGTCGAATCCAATGCCGAGCACCATGTCGTATCCATCACACGATCGTCGCTAACCGGAATGGCTGATGTCTCCATCTCGGCAGAGCAGGTCAAGGCTACCTTGGCCGCACTGACTGCTCTGAAAGGAGTCGGTCCCGCGACTGCGAGCTTATTGATGAGCGTAGCCAGTCCGGTGCATGTGCCATTCTTCTCGGACGAGCTGTTCCGTTGGGCATTCTACGAGGATGCCAAAGGCAAAGGCTGGGACCGATCGATCAAATATACGCCAAAGGAGTATCTGGAGCTTTTTGAGAAATTACAGCAGCTTGTGAACCGAATCGATGTCTCAGCTGTTGATGCTGAGAGGGTGGCGTATGTTTTGGGCAAACGAACGTATGGCAAGGGAAGCAATAAGAAGACAGAGGCCGCTGCGCAGTCTAGGAAACGTGCGGCCGACGACACCAGCGCGGAGAATGTCCAGCCAGTACCAACATCTAAAAAGAGCAAGACTACCAAAAGCGATTCCAAAGATGAGCCGTCATCACAATCGGCAAAGTCTGTCACAAGAGGGACACGCTCATCCACACGGCTGAAGGCACAATCATGATGTGCTCCGCTTGGGTCAGGTATCGATTTGGCAGTACATTTGACGCCGAACGATGGGGATATTTCGCAAACACCTTCGATTGGCAGTGCTACAGACCGTTGGTAGCATGTCATATACATGCGCATTTGTGCACCAAAAGAATCCTCCGACTTCGGCCGCGCCCAATGAAGTCATCTTGATTTCAGCACATCCGCAGTCCTGCGAAGATCAGAGCAACGTCCCATCAGCGTCTATACAACTGCCGTTGCCAATTCAGACTGATTTACTGATCTACTAGACATTGCAGTATGGCTACATCATCTCTGGCTAAGTGGGCCAACGAGCTCAAGTGGGAAGATGTCCCCGATTCAGTTCGAAAAGCAGCACAGCGATCATTATACAACTATCTAGGCTGTGCTATCGGTGGCTCTCACCATCCAACTGTGTCAAAAGCTCATCAGGCCTTGGAATCGCTCTTCGGGCCGTCCACGTCCACGCTGCTGGGTCACCATGGCTCCCAAACGCAGAAGATCGATGCTCAGCACGCTGCGCTGTTGAATGGCATCTCGTCGCATGTTCATGATTACGACGATACTCATTTGGCTACCATCATCCACCCTGTTGGGCCTGTGGCATCTGCAACGCTAGCTTTTGCGCAGCTCAATGGCCAGGTAGTTTCTGGTCAACAACTGCTACTCGCACTCATCGCCGGTATCGAAGCGTCTTGCAAGCTGGGTCTTGCTGTTTGGCCGTCTCATTACGACATTGGCTGGCACATAACGTCTACGACTGGTAGCATTGGAGCTGCAGTCGCGATCGCCAAGCTTGCGAATTTGTCGCAAGAACAGACCGCGCATGCTATCGGTATTGCAGCAACACAAGTCACTGGACTCCGAGAAATGTTTGGATCTGACACGAAATCATTCCATGTCGGCAGAGCTGCACAAAATGGCTTGCTGGCTGCACAAATGGCAAGCAAAGGCTTCACGAGTAGCTTGGAGGCTATAGAGGCGAAACGAGGTTGGGCAAATGTCGTTGTTGGTCCTGAAGGAAAGCCCCAGCTCGATCGATACCTTTCGCCTGACAGCGAAGATGGCCTCAGCCGAGTATGGGAAGTTGAGCGGAACACATTCAAACCTTTCCCTTGCGGCATTGTCTGCCATCCAGCTATTGATGCTAGCATACAGATCCATCGTGAAATGAAGGAGCAGAATATCTCAGTGAAAGATATCGAGAGCGTAAAAATGCAAGTGCATCCGCTAGTGATCGAGGTAAGACTATGAAAGCTACTCGTTACCGAAAATGTCGCTAACATTGCTTTGTTCGATACGTATAGCTCACATCGAAGCGGCAGCCCAAAGATGGACTGGAAGGGAAATTCTCGGTATTTCACGGCGCTGCTGTTGGCCTTATTTATGGCAAAGCTGGACCAGCCGAATATGATGATCAAGTCGTAGCAAGCTCTGCCGAGCTTCGAGACAAAATCGATGCCACATCGAGCGATGAAATAGCAAGTGATGCTGCAAAAGTGGTTGTTCAACTCCGAGACGGGAGCGAGTTGGAGAAATTTGTCGAACACGCCGTTGGGTCGTTGAATGTCCCAATGACGGACGAGCAATTGACCGAGAAATTCGTGGACCAGTGCTCGTTGGTGCTAGGTAGAGACGGCGCCACACGAGCAAGTGCACTCGCTTGGAGTATTGGCGACGCACCGGACAGTCGAGAAGTAATCGAGCAGCTCTGAGCATGTGAAAATATGACGTGATTGTGGTCTGTGCGCAATGCGCGAGCGTTTCCTGCTGCTCGGGCTCTGCGCATCGAGAACGCCCATATTGAGCCAGCTACCCCGATCACCTTACAGAAGAAAACATGGTTCAATACACAGCCAGGCCATACGGCTCCAGCACACAAATAGATAGCAACGACTGCGCAACCTATTGGATGCTTGATGACTGCAGCAAAATCTCCGATGCCAACATCGAGTTGGAGCTGAAAGATAAAGGCATATTTCCCCCGGCTGGCACTCAGCCCGCTCGACGTATCGCGCTCCTATCACGCGCTCAGCGAGGACTACTGATCTATGAGAAATGCACGTTGGAAGAGCTCAGAAGATTTTGCATGCAACGTGCCATCCTCAAAACAGGCGGGAAGAAGTGCGAAAGGAGCAATATCAAACACGCGGTCGAAGGGCGCTTCAAGAAAAGCAACTTCATCAAGCAAGCCCGAGACGATGAACTCATCACGCTCCTGGAGACAGCCGACGAGCACTCCACCTTGGAACGTTTCCTCGATCTTGATCCAGCGATCCGCAAGCAGATTTTCTCCATGCATCTCTCGAGCCTTGAGTACCACCACATCCCAACTTTGCCACCAGTGACTCGAGTCTCGCGCCTCATCCGGCAAGAAACATATCCTCTCTTCTACGACCTCTGTCCAGCAAACATCCGCATCGCGCGCAAGCCACCGTCTATCAACACAGTCACCAAACTTGCAGACCCGCCTTTTCTGCCTGCCGTGGAACGTTTCTTCACCAAGCACACCTTGCAGCTGAACAGATTCCGACGCATCAACGTCTTGTTATCAGTCGAGCCCGAGGCCTGGAAGTTCACGAGCTGGAGGTATACGTTGAAGGTGGGTGAGAGGGAGGTTTTGAGCCTAGAGAGGGAAGAGAAGCCGCACAATGAGAGGAAGAAGGAAGTTGGGCTGCGGGAGACACGGGTTAGTTTGAACAAGAGGATGCAGGAGCTTGTGGATGACATGGTTGAAAGGGGCGACGGGATCAAGTTTAGGAGGACGGATTGGAAAATTTTGAAAGGGGTATTTGGATAGACGAAGAAAGATTGGGTTTTGGTTGACAAGCACATTCTGTCATTAACGATTTTGTCGAGCGGGCTCGACATTGATCAAGGATCTAAAGTTTTCTGTCCGATTGTCGAAGCACTGAAGGGCCCAAATCAGTCGTGTATTCAAAATATGTCGACTGATGCAGATTTTCGAAGCCCAAGCAAGCATATGCTCTCAGCTTGTGAACCACGCTGTTTGCGGGTGAAGTCCGCCAAGGCTATGAAAGTGCCTTCGGATATAGCCAACAGGTCATCGAGACGTCGTCCGTACTACCTTACAGGTATGCCTCGAAGAGATTGAGAGTTCGTTGAGGAAGCTGCTGGTAGATTTGTATCGCAGACGTTTCACGTCGATAATTTTCTGCAACCTCATGCTTGCGTCGCTTGCACATCCGTTGCATCCTTTTGCAGACTATCAATGCGCCTTGGTAGACATGTCCCCATCAGTCCCGGCTCGGGCTGCAACATTTCGACACCCTCCTCGGAAGCACGCGCTCTGCTCACAACCTCGACAAGATCGCTTGGAGTAATGCCAGCAGGGTCTCTGAATTGCCTATTCTCCGCCCAGTCTTTCGGGCCAAGAACACCAGCGTCCTTAACAAAGCCTCGGCTTGCATCAAAGAAGAAGAGCGTAGCATGCAATTCTTGTGGCTTTACGATAGTCGTGTGGTATGCCGCAGCAGGCACGGTGTAGGTGTCGCCGCGACGATGGATGGTTGATTGTGTAAGCTTTGCTTGCATCAACTTGCCAGTATTCACGACCGTTGACGAGAGCTGATGCGTTGCGTACTTGGTGGACTGCGAATTCCCGTCATTCCAGCCGATAGCGTACGAGCAATGAGTAGCTTCTTCGTACTCATCGACAGGATTCACATCGTACAGCACATCTGTGCCTTGGCCGTGCAGAGTCCAGCTCTGGGCGAATGCTTGATGCGAATGTATTGCGACTTCTGCTTTTCCACGTTGTCCGTCGGGCATCCAGACATGAAGTCGAAAGAGAACATCGATGTTGCCGTCCTTAATTATGCTACACAATGGCAGCGAGAGAAAGCCTTGTGCACTCCGTGAGGGTGCGTACCTGGCACCAGCCATCGTCAAATCCGCGATGGCTTCTTGTATTAGGCTCCAAATGTAATCCAGAGTAGTAGCCTCTACGAAACCTGACGAGATCATGTAGCTGACTGCTAGAGTTAAACTCGCCAGATTTCGAGGGCCATTATCCGTTAATCTGGCATTAATCGATTCTTGCCACCCGACCAGTGAGTACTTCGAGATTGTGTGCTCGGTGAGCCATTCCGATACAACACTGTGATTATGTTGAGCTGGTTTGGTGGCTATAAGCACGCCTGGAAGGATTCGTTGCAGCGTCGTGCCGGGGATTTTCCTACTGTCAATGCTGCTCGGGTCCATTGTTTCAGCTGTGTTGTTGATGTAAGTGAGCATGATTTGAGAATGTGCCGGCCATGGCAGAGCTTTTCACACTGTTCGCATGAGGCTGTAGCCGCCCGAGTGACTCCTTTAGGAGGCACTGCATAGCTGCTCAGCCTCACTTATGTAACTACCTGGCTGCATGATCCCTGCAGAGCATGCAGCCACTTGAGCGGCACAACAGACGTATGGCCTTATCTACGCCCCAAGATTTGGATCTAAATGCCTTCGCCGCCAGCTGCCCAAAAGGAAGAGTGTCGTGATGGCGGCTCGAATGTTTTCACCGAAAGCAGAGGCAAAGGCCATCAGGCAGAAGTCGTTCCTGCCTGAGATTTGAGGCCCGTGCTCAGCTTTGGCGCCAACTCAATCCCCTCCTGTTCTCCTCGCTTCCAATTGCTTAATAACTCTTGATGCATTTCATCTATCGAAGAATCACATGAAGCACAACCACGGCCAGAGCCTCCCCACAGCCTTGAACCATGTATCGCGCCCCACGCTGAGTACACAGGGCAGATGCCTAATCCCATATCTCAGGAAGGACACTGTGCTTAGACAAGATCATTATGCATTTGGGTATCAAAATTTGCCTATACTATGAGCGGTTCACCATCTGCCACCCGGTCCTCCTAGCCCGCCCGGCCCTCCAGGTCCTCCATAGTGACCTGCACCTCCACCCCCTGGACCTCCATGATGGCCATGACCGCCTCCAAAGCCACCTTGTGGTCCTCCGCCACCATGATGCCCGCCAAATCCGCCCCCATGCTGTGGTCCGCCGTGGTGAGATGGTCCGCCAGGCCCAGGCATACCTCCTCCGAAACCATGATGCTGTTGTCCAAACCCAGGCCCGCTCTGAGACTGAAAGTGATGTTGGCTTTGTGGCTGGAATTGTGATTGCTGCTGCGACTGATAATTCTGTTGCATTGGAGCTTGGTGGTTGTGATGCTTTTTCTTAAGGATTTTCTCCTCGACCTTCTTCTCGATCTTTTGCAGGAGCCCCATATCTGTGATCTATGCTTGGTAGGTAGTCTTTGAATTTGATAGGTTGATGTCCGTCCCCCAAGTTCCAGGCTGTTCTTCTGCGTTACTGCGTTGATTCTTTGGCGAGTGAATGCTCATGGCATGGAAGCCATATATTCGAGTTTCTGGACTCATGGCATCACGTCACGATGAGGGACCTATTTGATGCCGCGTCACGCATTGAAGAAGTGGATCTTTCGTTTAGATGTTTAGTCGAGACTTGACGTCGCCTCGCCTTGCGAACACGCCTTGGCATGACGAAGAATTGAAGCTTTTTCAAAGAAAAACTTGCGCCACGACCACGCGGTGCCACGAGCGGCTGTGCGGTCCACTTCGACCGGCATGTCCATTGGCTTCTGGTACGTTGCAGAAAGTGCGATAAAGGTCTCATTTGTGTGCTTTCATTGATACTCTGAACATGACCGAAGCTTCGCTCAGACCGATCTTGAGTCAATGCTTGCTTCATACTCTGGGCTTTCTGCTTAGACTTGATGCTACTTAAGATATCCATCTGTCGTAGTCAACTCCATGTCCGACTGTCGCTAACCGCAGTCGCTCATGGTAATGGCGTCTTCACCACTGACTCCCAACAAGCGCAACGATCACTCCTCAGCAGGCAACGGCACAGCACTGACAAGTCTGCTTAGTTCGCCGCGCTGCTCCTTCAACTTGAATAAAGCATTATCCAGCCCAATGAACTCATGTTCTGGCTTACCGACCGCTTTGCTTGGCTCGACATGCTTCCTCTTCATGGACTCAACGGTCTCCTCGAACCGATCGAGCTTCTTGCCAAAGGCCTTGACCTCCTTCTCATACAATTGCCACTCTCCAATCAAGATGCCATAGGCTTTTACCTGCGAGTCGTACTGGCTCGGTGGTGCTTTCGGGTCTCTTTCGAACAATGGCTCCCTGTCCGGTGGAGGCGATGAAGGCATCGGAGTCGATTGTGCACGGGCAGTGAAAACGCCGGCTTTCGATTTGAGCACCTGGCATTGGGCGTCGAGCTCTGACGCTTGAGTGTTCATACTATCGATTTGCACCTGGAGCTTCTGATCTGCCGTCACGTGTGGTCGTTTCCGAAGCTTGGCTACGGTTTGGCGCAAAGTCTCCTTCACACTCTTCCTTCGATGTTGTTGCGACATGGCTGATAACTCAGTGAGGAGGAATTGAGGTCGAGGAACAGGAAGTTCGACGACTTGAAAAGACGTTGAGAACCCACAGGGAATGGTGGATGTTGTGTTCACCAACTTCCGGGTCTGGGGTGTTTGCAATCGTCATTCGTGACAATTCGAGCCATGTGCGACATAGTAAGCCTGCTGAGGCAAACTCTATGTCACTTCAAGCCAGGACATGTCGCAGAACACGCAGATACCCTCGAACCCGAGCTCATTCATATCAAAGCTCGTACGTAGATTGGACTCGTCACCGACTGTGCGCACGAACGATTCTTGTTCTGGCATCGTATTATTCCAGCAGAATACGAATTGTGAGTTACACTGCCATAATCAGGGTACGATCAATCGAAGAAGTCGTCCTCGTTCCATGGTATCATTATGCAAGACTCGAGCTCCGGGCTCAGGAGATGTGCATCACTTGAAGTAGGCGGTGGTGTAGATCCACTAGAAGATGTTGAGACACTGGATGGAGACGTTGATTCCAGCATAAATAGTTGTCCCGCGTCAGATGTGTCGATGTTGTGCTCACTATCAATGAGGACATGTGACTTCCGCTGGGAACGGACCTTGATATTGGTTCGTCGCTGCTTGTGGTTTGGCTGCCGTCCATGTTGGTGGTACCGGAGAACATCAGGTGATGAGCCATCAACAGGAGTTTGATGATCAAGGCGCTTGGCGTCGCCTTTTGCTTGCTGGATCCGTGAGTAACGAGTGGTCACATCTGCATCAATGGCTGAGACGTAATCGTTCCAGCGAACGCGCTTATTCGTAGGCTTCGTCGTCGTCTTCGAAGTAGGAGGAATATGGCGACTACCGTCGTCTTGTATGATACTCTCTAGCATCAATCTCTCCTCATGAGTGATCTTGAAGCCATCTAGAGTGTGCACATAGTCCTCCAGAATTGATGGGTACACTGGATCCAGCCAAGCTGCCAGTGAAGAGATTGGCTCAATTGCATTTCGTTCTTCCATGCTGTCCAACCAATTTCTCAATTCTAGAAATCCGAATCTGGACATAGTTTGCTTTTGTCATTGATTCAGAAGCGCGATTTGTTCTTCTTCGCGCGGACAAGAACTTGAGAGATATTCCTGCACCCCGGTATATTCCTGCGCGAAGTCGCTCAACTGGCCGATATTCTACCCCACGTCCAGGTTTGAGGAGAGATTTGCGTCAACGAGACTGGGGATATGAACGATCCGGAGAACATTTTGCTTGGGGTGATGCGGACCGGCGAGGTGGATGTTCGATTCTTGTACAGCATCGCGATCCGTGCCCACGATGTCTGCATCCTATATCCGCGTTCCCTCAACGGAGACGGACGCGTGTGCTCGCTTATATGCTACTACCGAGCCTCGGCTCTATCGATATTATCATCTTGCGTGCCGACTTCTGGAAGAGACAATAACCGAGCGAAGGCATGGTCTCATCAATATGCTGAGAAGCAGAAGTTCTTTCGACAACCTGCCATCATGGTCGGCACAAGCAGATTTCCTGGGTCTGAGATCAGAAAATCTTCGCTGAAAGTACTTACCCGAGAGCGCAGCGCCGGTCTGACCACCGAAATCGCCGAGCTGACCACCGCGGTGGTTAGGAACTCTAAAATGATAGGGGGTTAGCCGAGGTTAAGCTGAAAGGTATAATATACTAATGTGCGGGGAAAGGCATACCTTTCCCTATTGCTTTCCTATACTATTTACTACGAATATAAACACGAATAAGAAAACTACGGAATAGTAAAGATATTAAATATTCTACCGACCTATACTAAGAACTAGATGCTAACGCCGCCATCCTTAGTAAACCTACCGCGGGAGAGGCCTATTCTATTACAAATCGTATATTATTCTAATACTATTCCGATCTTATTCTAATTAAATCTAATTTAGATACTAAAAGCAATTTAAGGTCGATCTTACCGAAGGGGATAGCCCCCCTACGACTGCTTAGCTCGGATTTAACGACGATAATACCTACGAGAGGGACTGCTAAGGGCTAGAATTTAAGGAGTACGACGAGGAGTACTATAAAAGCCGATTAGCGGTACTATATATCGACGACGACGTTAAGGACGTTATAAGATATATAAGGGCATTCCTATTGCAATATTAAAGGAATAAGAACTTATTTGCAATAGGATAGGATTGTTATTACCTCGAACCGCGACGCTATTCGGGCTCGTTTTATCGAATACGTAACTGCGATGCCGCAATATCCGAAGACCTACGAAGATAGATACGCGTACGTAATCGACTGCTCTGCGACTAGTACTAAGCCGGAGCTAGATATAAGTAGATTCTTAATCCGATATTATTTTAATCTTATCGCTTTAAGAAACGATTAAGAAACGATTAGTAAAGATAGCTAAGAGAGAGGTAGATATAATATAGCATTCTCTTAGTAGGAATAAAGGGGGCTATTCTAACAATATCTAGTTACTTAGGTAATATACCGTATACTAAGACGTCGTACGACTGCTTAGGTATTAAGCAGTGCTAGTAGTTATACGAGAACCTAGCATCTATAGATTACTACGAGGTTCCGGAAGAATAGTAGAAGACGAGAAAGAGATTAAATCTCGAAAGGTTTAACGAGGATAATCCTAATCTAGCGAGAAAGAACGCGTTAAGGTATATAATTCTAATATTAATAGTTTTATAGGCGAATAATAGCGATAGGCTCTACTAGTCGCTCCGAAAAGAGTTCGACAATAGGACATTCTATAAGGCCTTTAGGTACGACTCTTATAAGATAAAGTTTAGATTCTTTAATCTACGTATAAGTAATAAATCCTATACTAATATTAATCTAATGTCAAGCTAATAGTATTCTAATGTAAATGGTTTCCTATACTAATACTAAACGAAATAGCTTAAAAGGACAATACTAGGCGAAGGATTTATCTACTATACGAACTACGACTCTTCTAGCCTAAATAAATACGATTATCGCTTCCGCGCGATTAAGCTAGCAGAGAATGTCGATTACAAATAGATATAGAGCCTAGTTATAGAGGTAAACAATTAGTCTAGGATTCTAATTACAAAGCGATAGTATACGGAGATCGTATAAGGGACGAGCCTGCGGAGAACATACCGTAAGTGCAAATAGATTCGGATTAGATTCCGAATAAATTAATATCGCAATTAGGTTACAATTACCTCCCCTCTAGACTAGGTTTCCTTAAGAAGATTAGTTGTCTAGTTAAAATAAGGAAGATTGTACCTATTAACTTTGCGGTATGTCCTTACGTTATCTTCGTATCCTTTTATTAGCATTGTTATCTACCGCCGCCGCCTATACGACCGCTTTAATCCTATAAGGATGAAATCTTAAGACTTGTTACTCAAACGCTATTAGCAACGATAACACTATATAGATAGATAGATATTTCATTTGCCTATTATAGTGCCTTTCGGCCTATGCAGGTCTGTTTCTATGTATTGTTTTAGGTAGGAAACTAACTTAGTTAGTAAAAACCTCCCTCCTGTCCTATTTATAAGTGTTAATCTTCCTCGTTTCCTTGTTTTCCTTCCTCTAGGGTATACTAGTGTTATAGTTGTTACCCTCTAACTACCTTGCCTGCTGCCCTGCCCTTCTTTCCCCCTCTTCTTCCCTCCTTCTTATCTACTCCTTAGTTTCCCTTACTAGTACGAATTGTTATACAAATCCCTATTTAATAATCTACTTTACTATCCTCTTTAGGTCTTCTTTGCTCTAGATTAGCTTGTCGTATTCCCTTTCTATTGCTTTTAGTCTCTAATTACTTCTGCCTTCTAACTATTAAGGGTAGACTAGTAGTATATACTTAGGGTTCTGAGATTAGTAGCTATATTAGCAAGCTCTACTTTCAATTCCTAGGACGTTTCTTCTAAATAGGTAAGATCTGAGTCTAATGTGTTTAGATCTGATTTAGATAGCTAGGCTTGCCTCGGCCCTGTTTAGGTCCTTATAGAGCTAGTAGTTATATTGACTAAATTTAATTAGTGCCTTTAGGGTTCCTAGTCTAACTTATGTTTTGTTCTATTCCTACTCCTATAGGTATCTAGCAATTGATTCTGCTAGGCTTTGTTTCTCTCTCTTTAGCTTGTCTTCCTTTAGCCTTATATTTAGTCCCTAAAGCTCTTTCTCTAGCATTTCTCTTATTAAGACTCTATATTGCTCTAGGTCTTTAACTTTCTAGGGAGTTATTTATAGTCTGTCTCGCCTCCTAGTCCTAATATACTAGGCTTTTATCTTGTCTAGTACCTTTTAGATAGTCTATTAGGCTAGGTATTCTATTGTCTTTGCTGCATATTAGTGTCTTAGTCCCTTGAAGTATTGTTTAACTAGTAGGATCCCTAATTCCATTTCTACTACCCTTATTAGTATAGTTTTATATACTCCTAGGATTTTCTTTAGGCTTTAGGTTTAGGACCTGCTAACTAGTTGCTTAATCCTCTTTAGTGTTTTCTCCTAGGCTGTCTATATCTGTACTCTATATAGTATTGCTAGCTTAACAATTGCTTTGTATATAACTTTAGCTTTCTCGAATATAGCCCCCTATATAGAGGCTATAAGCCTATTAATAGATTGTATGTTAGTATCTACCCTCTGCTTTGCCTTCTTTACTTATAGTCCCTAATTCAGTTTTGGATCCAGCTAGATCCCTAGTACCCTAAGCTCTGCTAATAGTTAGGTTTTAAAGCCTTAGATAGTAATTGATTGCTTTATATTATAGGTTGATTTAGCCTTACTAAAGTAGATAAGCTAGTACTTTTCTAGGGCGAATTTTGCTCTATACCTCCTTGCCTATTTTTTATACTCCTAGTGCTTCTCTTCTAGGATCTTGCAGTTGGTTTCTATTGTCTTAGACTAGGCTAGGATGTTTGTATTATCTACAAACCCTAATACTAATATGTTTTTTGATTCTAGGAGTAGGAGTAGGTCTGCTATAAAGATAAGGAAGAGGATTAGGGAGAGTATTAATCCTTAGGGGATTCCCTTTTTAGTTAGTATTAGGTCTAATTTGAATTTGCCTAGAATAAGCTATATTAATCTTTCCTATAGGAAGGACTAGATGAATTGGACTATCTAGTTTAGTATAGCTTTCTATTTAAGTATATATAGGAGCCTTTTATAGGAGATATTGTTAAAGGCTCCTAAGATATTAAGGGAGAGGAGGGTTGCTACCTAGTTTTAACTATAGTGCTAGATATGCTTGATCTGTTCTATAATTAGTTCTATAGCTATTAGTATTGACCTCTTCTTTCTTCCTCCTATCTAGCCTTTAGGAAGGATGTTCCTTTCTTCGGCAAAGGTTGTTAGCCTTTTAGCGACAATTTTTTCTAGCACCTTGCCTATTGTATTAAGTAGGGCTATTAGTCTATAGGCCTTAAGCTGTATATAGTCTTCCTTCTAAGGCTTCCTTAGTACTACTATTAGGGACTTCCTAAATAGTCTTAGGTAGTGTCCTAGTACTAGGCTTTATAAAAAGATATTAGCTAGTGCTAGGGCTAGCTCCTTCCTATATGCTTTTAGAAGTTTGTTGTAGATCTTATCTTCTCCTAGTGCCTTATTGCCTAGAATTTTCTTTAGGATCCTTTCAATAGTTTCGGGTTTGACCTAGGTATCTCTTAGTGTATCTAGTAGTAGAGTCTCTTGTTCTTTCTCCTTTATATCTAATAGGTCTACTTGTACTTTTCTATAGAAGAAGTATTGGCCTAGGGCTCTTGCTTTCCCTTCTATTATAGTCTGCATTTGTCCTTATTAGTCTATAATGTCCGGGAATTGTAGTAGTATATCCTTATCCTGTTTAGGTCTCCTTACCTATTTAGCTATCCTCTATATCTCCTCTAGTTTCTTTGTAATTATTCCTATTATAGATCTCTATTCTTATATCTTATCTTTCTTAATCTAGATCTTTTTTTCCTAGTAGGCTTTATTATAGATGTCCTATGCTTCCTAGGTATAGGTTTGTGTCTACTGCCTCCTAGCCTTCCTTACTGCTTTAACCTTCCTTATACACTTACTAGTCTAGTATAGTTGCTAGTATAGTAAATGTTTCTTTGCTAGGGTATGCTTTCTAGCTACCTATTTTAGGGCTCCTATTAGTTCTTCTACTGCCTTGTTAATATCCTTTAGCCTTAGTAGGTGCTTTATTAAGAGTTCCTCTAGTTTTAGGTCCCTTTCTAGTTCCTCCCTAATCCTGCCCTATTAGGCACCTTTCTAGTTAAGCTTCTCTTCTAGTTCCCTTTCCTAATTGGCTTAGACATTTAGTTCAATCTGTACCGGGAAGTAGTCTAATAATTCTTCTAGTTCCTAGTTAACCCTATATCTTGTAATCCTATTCCTAATCTAATATAATACAAAGTATAGGTCTAGTATGCTACTGCTTCCTCTTGCTTCCTAAGTAATTAGTCCCTTTAGGGTAACAATTTCTATTCCTTCCCTCTCTAATATATCAATCAGTCTTCCTGCTAGGAAGTAGTAAGCTAGGGTAAAGTCTAAGCCCTAGAGGGGGTAGTAGAGGTTGAAATCCCTAAGTAGGATTTAGTAGGTGTTCCCCTAGATAACTCTTAGTAGTCTTTCTAGGGTTTTCAGTTAGGTACTGCTTCTTAAGTCTAGTAGTAGGTTGTATATATAGTAGACTTGGAGTATACCTTAGGATATCTCTACTTAAACTAATATTAGGTCCCTATCCTCCTATAGTATAGCCTACTAGGTTTCTATATCTATCTCCTTGCTAATGTAGATGTATGTCCTTAGGGCTCCCTAGTTGTAGATAATTAGGTAGTATCTTAGGTCTTTAACTGTTACTAGTCTCTTTATATATAGGTTAAGCTAGGGCTCTTAGATTGTAATAATGTAATGTTCTTTTAGGTTTAGTGCTTAAAGGAAGCTCCTCTATACCTTGTCTTTACTCTTATTAATATTATACTGTATAATATTCAGTAATGTTGCAATATTCATTAGGTTTTATCTATATCATTTCCCTATAAGTTTTCCTTTAGTCTTCCCTTACTTTAGACTAACATTTGACTAAGCTTTGTCTGCCCTGCTTCCTTTCCTACAATATTAAGGTATCTTAGTCTCCCTAGTTACTAGTGACTCTCTTGTACTAGTAAGGCCCTAAATGTGAACCTATTATCTTATCTAGACCTCTTTTATAGCACTTAGCTAGGTTGCTTCTATACCTAGCTGCCTTAGCTTGTTGTATATCTTTTTAGTGTATTAATTCTAGCTTCCTTTGCCTTCCTAGCTGCCTGTATTCTTACTAGGCATTCCTTCGCCTAAGAGGGGTATCTTTTAGTATAGTATATATATCTTACTTCTCCCTTATGTACTTTACATTCTTTAACCTAGTAATCCCCTATATAATAGGAGTAGGTATTAGTTGTCTTTATACACTTAGCTGCTAAGTGTCTATAGTGTTGACATTTGAAGCACTGTATTATCCTATAGTTGCTTCTATATATCTCTGTTTCTAGTCTTTTAAAGTCCTAGAACAACCCCTAGTCTAGCACTATATTAGCTTACTCTATACTCCCTACCTAGATAATTAGGGAAGACTGCTTCTTAATCTCTTCGATTTTCCTTTTAATCTATGCCACTTTTGTAATCTTTAGGCCTAGGTATGTAGCTTAGTTTTGTCTCTGTAGGCTCTTAATATCCTGTTCTTCCTTAAAGCTTCTTGTTATGCTATAGGCTATAATTATAAATTGCTATTAGGAGACCTTTGCTGTTTTCCCTATCTTGGTTGTCTATTCTTTTTGTGTTTCTAGCTTCTTTTTGTCCTGCTTTTATGCTATAAATAGCTTGATTACCCCTTTACCTTCGTTCCTAGCCCTAATTACCTCTTTAACTATAATTCTTTCTACAATCTCTTTCCCTATAAGTCCTTAGATTTCCTTTTGCTCCTATAGGTCCGTAATGTAGACTCTAACTACTGTCCTCGGGGGTTTTAGCGCCTCCTAACTAGCTACTACTGCCTAAGTGCGGTAGTTTAGGCTTATCTCCTGTTGTTTCTTCGTAATCTTTGCTACGACTATATTAGCTACCTTTATAATTACGTAGCTCGCCTAGTTGTAGATTGCTTTCAGTCCTCTAAGGAGTTCTAAGATTATTATCCT